ACAAAGCAAGACTGGAGATGCCTGGTGACTCGATATTGGCAGAGCGGTCACAGGACTCCAGATGTACGCAGGTGTGAACGAGTGACACTCGAATGGCGTTATCCCACAGGGATCTTGTTTCGAAGATGTCGATTGATGTCGAGGAAACAAGATCGAAGTGAGGGATCCAGAGGGGAGCAAGGCAGGAAGAGGTGGAAAAGGTCTGTGAGAGAGCCCGCCTGGTGTTGCGGTTTGTGTCTCGAAATGCGGAGGGTTGTTGCTTGGGAAGGGGTGCGGTGTGCAAGTGTAGGTGCAGGCCTGGTCGGTTGCAGGTGGAGCTCGTATGCTGGAACGGCCAAATTGGTCCTGGTACAGGCCTGGCCACGGACCCCGGCCAGTGAGCTAGAGGGTGGATTTATGTGTCTGTGAGAGGGCAAAAGGTGGGTGAGCCTGTGTGTCAACCCTTGTCCAGGTGCTGGCATCAACAAGCAAAGCAGAGTCCGAGTGACAAGGGGGCCCGATGGTGTCTTTGTTGACAAGAGGCTTGCGGTGAGCTTCCTTCTTCTGCGACCTCTCGACTCTTAGCGCAGGGGTCCTGACGCTGGTGCTGCATGCCCAGCTGGCTTTAACCAGGTGCGGTTCAGAGGCACTTCAACTCGCGCGGGCTAAACTCGATTGGCCCGACAGCGTCTGCAAGGTTAAATGGCGAATGGACGGGACGTCGATCACAGAGCATGAGCTGCGTGGAGAAAAGAGAGGGTGACGAGGGCGAGAGAGATGAAGCGGTGCTTTGTAGTGTGGGAAGCGGATCCCTAATACACTACAATTACAATACCGTACTGATGTGAGAGTACCGGTAGGTAGAGTCCTCCGACTGCGTCCTCATCCGCCCCGTGTCGTATCACGAATGGGAGCTTCCACCGGCTATCAAGGGAGTTAGCTTCATTAGATTCTGCCCTGAACCTGACACGCTGTTGGATGAACGGCTGTTCAGGGCGGACTCCTGGCATTTGGCCACAGCCTCCAAGTCAATATTCCAGAAAAGTGACAATGCAACGTTCTCCTTTCCGCAGCGTGCCGTATCTCGACAGCGAGGCAGGTCTGGCAATGGGAGCCCCATTCCTCATATTACTGCATAGTAAGAGCGAGGTCCAATCTCTGGTTCCTCATTTTGATAGCAACTCCACTTGATGCTCCAGGCCGGATTATCTAACGCCACCTCCCACCAAGGCGGCGGCTTGTTCGCTACCGCTCTGTTCCAGTTTTCAACGAGGAAATACCCGTATTCGCTGCAGAAATTAGGTGGGGTTGCGGGTACCTGCGTCCAGAACCTCTAGCCTAACGCGTACCTGTAGCCCGGACTCCGACAACCTGTCTTCAATTCACCACCAAAAAGGCCACCACCTCCTTGCCTTCGCCTTAGCCTGAGCCCAGAAAAGCCGCCACAGGAAGAAACAATTAAAGAAACGTCTCTGGCGTGGACCAGCCAATTGTCGCACCTCGCCGCCCATTCATGATGATCCGTCTCCTGCCCCTCAAGAGCGTCCCTTCGGTCATGCCGCCTGCCTTGATGGATCATGATTCATTCGCTCAAATGATACCAGTCGGCTCGAGTTTAGCCATTCACGGGACTGTCAGTTCTCGGGGGAACAATGATGCATCGCTGCAACCTCACTGGATGGGTGTAAGAGCGCAGGAGGTTGCATCATTTTACAGCGTCCAAAGATGCTCATATGAAAGGGGGGCTCTTCGCTGCTTGGCAGATCCTGTGACATTGAGTACCTGCTGCCTTCCAGACTAAGACCCTCCGGGGCATTCGGTCGTGCAATCTGAAGAGCCGCCGAGAGAAGCCTTAGAAGGTTGGCATAAACAACCACCCGACAAGGGGATTGGTCTCTGTCGCCACGCTATATTTCCGATTCCCCACGGTTCATCAATCAATCTGAATCGCCTGGATTTGTAGTCATTACGTGCATTGGATTGCACAAAACGATCATAGGCGTTAGATTATTCCCGACATGAAGCACCCAATGATTCGGCCTGACTGCCTCCCAGCCAGCCCCGTTCCTGAAGGACAATGCGGCTGGTCGTCTCGCCGAGGACCCCTGCTCCTGGCGGCGTCCTTGGTGTCGTTTTAGGCCAGGGATCTTTCCGTTTTGGTGCACCCCCTAGTCGACATCGTGGATCATCATCTCTGTCTCAGCTACTCCTGTGGCACATCGTGGGCATCGTCAGATGGGCAATCAATTAACGCCGCCAGCATTCTGCAGCTACGACTGACGTATCAGAGAGAGCGGCCACGATAAGTCATGCGTTTGGTCGGCGCGTCATATGCCTAAAGGGTCACCCTTCTACCGTCCATCTGGGTCGCCGGTCTATGAACGGCGGCCTCGCCTTCAGCGGTAATTGAGACTGCTGAGCTGCGAAGCGGCCTGCTAATAATGAAGTCAGTGTCAGCGAGATAATCCTTTCAACAAGCGCTCGCTCCCGTCAGCCGTCAGACGTAAGCACACCACTTCTCTTCAGGAACGGGATGCGGAAGTGCTTGCATTTGAATGTTACACACCCTTTTCCAACACATGGACGATCTAGTCCGCATTCTGTCAAGGCTAATCACCCTGTCAACTGTAAACAGCAATACGAAATGAGAGTCCATTTCCCTCTATTCCCCTTATCGGACATGTTAGGGAGCTTTGCATGTCGAGTCAAGGTGTTTTGGGCTATCAATCGACCTTGGATTAGTCCCGCGCCATCATCGACCCCATAGCAGTTACGGACACTTCGGCAAGGCAAGGGATATGCATTCATCATGCGGGATTTGCAAAGTCTATGAGATATCCTCCCTCCACGTTACTCCGGTTCGGGCTACGTATGCCTTGCATAGGGGGTAAGCTACAGTACTCTATCTTAATCACGACATTCTCCGCATTACAATCATGATAGACACAGACTAGCAAAGATCAGTGGATATTGCGATGAACCATGATAGACTACCTTGCGCACGTGCCAGCCAGCTCCATCATGTCGACGCTTTTTGTAGCGCACTGAGCGCAAGGGGACCTCTGATGCTTTAAAACATGACGATCAGCATTTTCGCCTATCTGAGGGTCAAATCTGTTCCTGAACTACCGTAGTCACAGGACCCTGAAGCGGAGTCTTCGATAAAATGCATTGATAAGGATCTGCCCCATCAGAGATGAAGTATGCGTTGACAGACTCAGGGTCTTCCAAGTTCTGTTCATATGGGCTCACGTATCAAGGCCTGTAGTGTCAGGTCCACACAAAAGGTCGTTCAGGCCTCGTAGAAAGTGAATGCAGCTCAAGATGCACTGACATACATACTCCTTGGGTGAGAAAGCATGTCTCCCACGGTTGTCACACATATGGCTAAAGAGCTTCGTGAGCCGACGGCACGGATACTGGGAGTTCCAGGTTCCGGCCCGGGAGGTTGAGGAGCTGCTGGATCGACCAGAGCCGAGGGACTGAATGCCAAGCCTTGATGTGATGGAGATCATGCAGTGACAGACACGGCTTGTCAAGATGCCCCAGATCATAGCGGTTCCCGTACTGGTAGTTGCTTCACCCAACCCACGACGCATGATCGTTGATTGACAGCATTGATGGCTTTTGTCTCGTAGGTTGATGCCGAAATGCTCTTCCCATCTCAAGCCAAGACCAGACCCAACAAAGTCACCAGCATAGCACACTTATTCTCAAATGTCACTCCGATCGTCTGGGAGTCAAGAGGATGTTACTGACGCGCCCCGTCTTCTTATTACATAATGTCTTCTTTACTTGGCTTGAAGGTGATCCGCACGTAAAGAGGCCGCGTCACAGATAATCTTAGAACTTGACCGCGCTTTCCGACTTCTCTCTTCTCCGGCCGGCCGCCCATCCCCACGGGGGCCCGATTTTAATAGACTATACAAGTGCCAACTGTCAACAGATGGGGTAAAGCAATCTGTCTCCCTTTGGATCTCCAGAGAGCCACGCCAATTCACCGCCCATTTCGAGCGATCCCTTCGTTATTTGTATTCGACTGCATCGTGATCGTCAGGGCAATGGCCAAGCACGCGAGCATGTGGTGGGTGTTACCCCTCCTCATCCCACCCGCACTGATAAGGAGGCTTATCGATGTGCATTTCTGGTATGTTGAAGGTTGAATTGAATGCATTCAACCTGCAGCAGTCTCCAGTTTGACCACTCAACAACGTTCTGTACTTTTGCAGGCATCCACAGCTGCTTGGCAACGGCAAACTAACGGCGAAGTATTTACGCTTCAGAGAGCGAAATCGCACGCTGCCAGCACATCGCATCATGTAAGAGGCAACGGTAGGCCGGCGCCCGACGCTGCCGGTTGGCCAATTGGGGCATAGCAGCTACCAGTAGACACAGGTAGTTGACCCCGCCAGATTGCGCCCACCAATGGAGGGGTCAAAATGCCACAGTGCTGGAATCCATGGCTGCCTTCCATCTCCACAAGCGTACACAGAATTGTCAGGTAGTTCTTACGTTTCCTTTCCTAAACCAGCCTACGTTGCTATCTAGTATTGCTGCAAGGTCGAAAGCGACCCTTGGTAGATTTGCGCTATATCGGCGCGTAGCACGGATAACTCAGGAGAATCGGCTTGATTCCTTCCCTCACCGCCCGAATCTCCCCACGTACTTAAGCCTTCTCCCTCTGGCATTCCTCCTCTGCAAACAAAAGAGTTTCCTCAACCACTCGTAACTTCACCTTCAAACCAAACACAGAACCAACCCGTCAATTCGATCGCGCTCTCGAGTTGCGATCACCGAAACCCGTCAAAACGTTTTCCAACCTCCTCAACTCGTATGTGATTCCCTGTGCATATCGTGCTCGTGATAGACAATGTACTGACATGTTTTCCTCCAGGGTCCATAACCAGTTTGCTGGAGCCCGTTGCTCTGCCTCCGGTAGTTCAGCGGACTCGGTCTTTACTCACTAAAGACCTACAAAGATTTCGAAAGATTGAAATCTATCCCGTAAACCACCCGTCAATATGGCTCCCCACGCCGAGGTCGACACGGGCTCCTTCACTGGAAATGGACACACTACCAATGGCACCTCCCAGGCTCCTGCTGGGAGCTCTGCTCACAAGGACCTGTTCCAGGTCAACTCCCCCAACGTCGTGTACACGGACTCTGAGATCCAGTCCAAGTACACTTACCGCACCACTCTGGTGAACAAGGGTGACGATGGCAAGTTCGTTGCAACCCCCCAAGAGACTGTGTATGACTTCAAGGTCGATCGCAAGATCCCCAAGACCGGTGTCATGCTTGTCGGTTGGGGTGGAAACAACGGAACCACCGTCACTGCCGGTATCATTGCTAACCGCCGTGGGCTGGTCTGGGAGACCCGCGAGGGTCCTCGTGCTGCCAACTACTACGGCTCCGTCATCATGGGCTCTACCATGAAGCTCGGAACTGATGCCAAGACTCACCAGGACGTCAACATTCCTTTCCATGACGTTCTGCCCATGGTACACCCCAATGACATTGTCCTTGGAGGCTGGGATATCAGCGGCCTGGACCTTGCCGCTGCCATGGACCGTGCTGCTGTTCTTGAGCCAACCTTGAAGCAACAGGTCCGCAAGGAGATGGCTGAGATGCGCCCGCTTCCCAGCATCTACTACCCCGACTTCATTGCTGCCAACCAGGAGGACAGAGCTGACAACCTGATTGCTGGGTCCAAGGCTTCCAATGCCCATGTTGAGCAGATCCGCAAGGACATTCGGTAAGGATTTTATCATATCGAAGGGAGACATACCCGTAACTAACCGGTATCCAGTGACTTCAAGGCCACCAACAACCTGGACAAGGTTATCGTGCAGTGGACTGCCAACACTGAGAGATATGCTGAGATCATCCCCGGTGTCAACGACACTGCTGAGAACCTCCTGAAGGCAATCGAGGAGGGCCACGAGGAGGTTGCCCCCTCCACTGTCTTCGCTGTGGCCTGTATTCTTGAGAATGCTCCCTTCATCAACGGTTCTCCCCAGAACACCTTTGTTCCTGGTGCCATTGACCTGGCTGAGAAGCACGGTGCCTTCATTGGCGGTGATGATTTCAAGTCTGGTCAGACCAAGATGAAGTCCGCCCTGGTTGACTTCTTGATCAACGCTGGTATCAAGCTCACCTCCATTGCAAGCTACAACCATCTTGGCAACAACGACGGCAAGAACTTGAGCTCCCAGAAGCAGTTCCGCTCCAAGGAGATCTCCAAGTCCACTGTCGTCGATGACATGGTTGCTGCCAACAACGTCCTCTACAAGGAGGGTGAGCACCCGGACCACACCGTCGTCATCAAGTACATGCCCGCTGTTGGCGACAACAAGCGTGCCCTTGACGAGTACTATGCCGAGATCTTCATGGGTGGTCACCAGACCATTTCCATCTTCAACGTCTGCGAGGACTCCCTCCTGGCTTCCCCGTTGATCATCGATCTCGTCCTGGTCACCGAGATGATGACCCGTATCCAGTGGAAGGCCGCATCCAGCGACGGCGCCACCACCAAGGACTACAAGACCTTCCACAGCGTGCTGAGCATTCTCAGCTACATGCTCAAGGCTCCCCTGACGCCCCCTGGCACCCCGGTCGTCAACGCCCTGGCCAAGCAGCGTGGCGCGCTCACCAACATCTTCCGTGCCTGCGTTGGTCTCGAGCCCGAGTCTGACATGACTCTCGAGCACAAGCTCTTCTAGACGCTTGTCAGTTCTGGGGGTATTTTCCTTGGACTGTGTTGACTGCTTTGCTCTACAACCCACTGGGTCTAATCATCATCTTCAATTCTCAAGACAGTCATTTCCGATGACATGAAGCTTCTTACATACTACTTAGGCTAGAACAAATTGTACCAGACTGGCCAAACATCTTTCTTTCCTTTGCCTTTGTGATCGTTAAATTGTGTAAATATGATCTGATGGTGTTGACTTCCAAGACTTCGTTGATCCTAGTCCCGGTACAGTCCATAAATGGAGGTTGCCAAAGTGGAGACTTATATCCAAGTCGCACCTTTCTCATCCTCATCATCATATGGCGTAGTGCATTAGGCTGCGCTCCTGCTGTCAATATTCGTTCAGTAAGGAAAGCGCATGTTTCGTCCTTTGCAGTTCCACACTTCACCTCGGGCAGGAGCCCATGCTCATGAGAGAATGCAACCGCGATATGCCCACATGTTCTTTTCACCAGGGCTCTTCACATTAGATGCATTCCTAATGTTTGTCTTCATGGCCATCGTGTCTATACACAGAAGCAATGGCGTCATCTCCTTCAATTCAATCATTCTACCAGAGGGAAACCACTTCACCCTCCCTCCGCATGTAGCAATACTTGGAGCACCCCAGCAAGCAAAGAACTGCGCTCCGGAAAATGAAGCTACTGATCAACCATCGACTGTTGAATGGAGTCCAAGTCAAGAATATCGAGAAACACAGATCTGTCAATTGATGGGTGGACCTGGTGCAGTGACATTTAAAGGGAGAATCGTCAATTACTTCACTGCTGGCGAGATTGCTGCTAGACGCCATTATTTGCCACGAGGCAACCACTTCCTGGTGATCAAGGATAATACTGGAGTTATTGCGGTAAGTTTTTGGGTATTTATGCGCTATAGATTGCCACAACGAATGTCAACATGATTTGGTAGTCTTATTTGATATTCCAGATACAATTTCTGGCTCACGTCCCCGACGACCACCGGATCCGCCTCGGCACACTCGTCACTGTATGGATGACCTTTATAGCAGACTTCAGTACTGATTTGTCCATCCATATTCCCTTCGTCTCTCATGTCACCTCTGTTCACCTTGCTGAGCACAGTCCATCATGTCTCAAGTTTCATGATATCGCTTTGGATCCAAACGAGACAGACCTTTGTCGAACACCTCTATACTATAGTCCCTCTCCGGAAGACAATATTTCTCCGCCAGAGCTTATGAGTCTGAAAGCATATCTTTTGAATGGCAATGATAGGGTGGTTAGCCCAAAAGTTCTTGTATGTGTCAGAAGCATTGGCCCTCGCAAGATTATGAAGCCGGCAACACACGAGGCACCTTCTCTCTTGATTGATGTGGGCATCTTCGACGAAACAGACAACTGTGTACTGAAAATTTGGGGGGAGAAAGTCGACTCAGTCAAGCAATGGAAACCGAACGCTACCATTCTACTCATGACCAATCCGACTTACCGGCCCTCTGGCAGAAAGGTTGCCAAAGCGGATATTGGTCTTGGCTTCATAACAATGGTAGATGTTGACCCTGTCTTTCCTGACGCTCAAGGGTTGCGCCAGGTTGCAGCAAATGCAACGACGAAAAAAAGAATTTGTATACCTTTCCCATATGAACCCTGGGATGTCGCCGAAGCAGTCAATGGGCCTGATGCCACACTCTTTACCTTTGCCGAGATCGATGATTTTGTCAGAGATGAACCAATAGCTGACTTCACGGGCAAATCGAACGTTATGATTCTTGATATGAACATACTGGATCATGTTAGGAAGGGAAGACTTTGCAGCTCAGACTGGTGGGTGCTCATTCATAGATCTTCATACTCCAGGCGATTAACACCCATAATTGGCGTAGCTGCGGCGTTCCCTTGTTCTCAAATGAGGCGATTGCCATATGCAAGAATTGTCTAGGCTCGAGTCCGTTGAGTTTGAACCCTTGCACAATGGGTACACTGGCCGACGAAACGGGCTGCATTGCTGCTGGGAAGATGGTATGGAGTGATCAGGCTTTGACTCAGCTGTTCTTTGGGAATGCGAAGGACAATAATACTGTTGAACTTGTGAGAAAAACAAAGTGCCTTCATGGAGACATTGGCGGAATACCTGAGGACGGATTACCATTGTGGCAAGACATCACGTGGCTGAATAAGGACGACCTCAGATCGATCGAAGAGCGAATGATGTATGCGCGGCTGACGTTGACGTTTGGCTGGTCTCACCAGGTTGTGAGACTATGCGTGCTATGGGTTGAGTGGTGAGGGTGATGCATTCAATTGCTGGAGACTTACTTCCTTGAAAGTCCTATACTCGATCATATCGGCCGCTAGAGTTTGCAATTTCGCCTCTGAGCGAACACATAAACGCTCAGCATCTTAGTATTACTATTTGCTATGCGATGTATCGAATGTCTCATCAAATGAGTTCGCTGTGACTCGAAGTATGCTCTGCAAAAAGCCGAACTCATTACCTGATTACTTCAAGCTATCCTACATGCTTTCAGCATTACTAGTCTAAATCAAGCGAGTCTAGACTCCTGTGGCTTCCTATCGCCAACTTCTTTCTGGGCTCTCTCTCTAAGAAATTTTCTAAGGATCTTTCCAGACTGATCGCATGTTAGCTTTTTGCATTCATAGAAGGGCGAAAGGATGACCAACCGGGTTTTTGGGAATTATATCAACGAAACAAACTCCCCCCTTCAACTGCTTGTACCGAGTCACTTTACCCTCCATCCACTTCGAAATCTCGTGCTCCGAGGCGTTAGTGTCAGGCACCTTGACGACATAGGCTCGGGGTAGTTCTTCTCCCTTGATGGTGACTCCGACGACTGCTGCATCTGCCACATCTGGCCGCTCGAGAAGGACTGCCTCGAGCTCAGCTGGCGCCACCTGATTGCCCTTGACCTTGATGAGCTCCTTCAAGCGATCCACGATATGGAACGTTGTGCCCGGTTTATATACCTCGACATAGGCAATGTCGCCAGTCTTGAGCCACCTCGTCCCATCTGAGTCCACGGATATTGTGTCCCTCGTCGCATCCGGCTTATGCCAGTAGCCTTGCATCAGTGTCGGTCCTGTCACCCATAGCTCCCCCGGCTTGTTCGGCTCCATGATCTCTGTCTTGCCGTCCAGCTCCATGATTTTTGCCGAGCAGTTGGGCATGAGTTCTCCCACTCCAGCGCTCTTCTTCAGCGTCGTTGGGTCCCAGCTCAAGCATGTGCAGGTCACCTCGGTCATGCCCCAGCCCTGCCGCACGATGATGTTGCCCTTCGGGAACAGCTTCTCCACCTCTTCGGCGACTTCCCGGGCCAGTGGTGCTGCTCCGCTGCCGAGGCCGTCGAGGCTGCTTAGGTCATACTTGCGCGCGAGAGGATGTTTCGCAAGAGCGATGATAATCGGTGGCACGGCCGTCAGAGTGGTGATGCGGAAGCGCTGAATATGGTCGAGCATCTTCACAAAGTCGAAGTTAGGCATCACATACACTGGAATCCTCATATGAGCAAAATTGGCTGTGAAGTAAGTTTGCGCGCTTGAGAAAAAATCATGAGAGTTAGTCGACGTCTTGAAGAGAGCATTGCCACCAACGGAAGTACGTACTAGGCATGATATAGGGGCAGAAAGCAAAGGCCGCGCATCTTGGGCAGACGGGCATGGTGTTCTGGATCTTGCTCTGCGACTTTGACGACCTGGACGCCATTCGCAACGTACGATTGATGCGATATCTCGACGCCCTTCGGCACGCCTGTTGTTCCACTGCTGTAATTGAGGCAACACGTGGTGTTGACTGGATCTGAAGGCTCATTCCAGTCCCATTTTGCGGCCCTCTTTGTATTTCCGTCGATAAGCTCCGTCCAATGCCTAGCCCCATCTTGTCGCCCCTTTTTGCCAGGGACTCTACCGCGCGGGTTGCTTGTCGAGTCGAAGATGTAGACTCGATCTCGCGAAAGTCCTGCAGCGGCTGCTGCCTCTAGAGCCGTGTTAAGGCTCCCTTCGGCTGCGATTAAGAACGACGCACCGCTGTCCCGGAGTTGATATGCAAGTTCGCGAGCAACGAAAGTCGGGTTTGCACCTGTGAAGATTCCCCCTGCCATGAGAATCCCTAGGAACACTGATGGGAAGTAGATATTATTCCCTGAAAATAGGAGCACGCGATCCTGTGGTTTCAAGCCGGCATCTTGCAGACCCAGCGCGACTCGTTTGGAGAGCAATCGAAACTCTTCAAAGGTCAGGTAATGAGTATCGGGTCGATCTGCATCGATGAAAGCCTGTTTTTCTGGTAAAGAGTCCTGGGATGAGCCAAAAATCCACTGTTGTAGAGAGCATTTTGGGATGGGAATGTCCCATCGCGACTTGATAGTCATCCTCTGCTTCTACTGGGCAAGTCCAAGTACGTATCGAAGTGGTGCAAGTGAGAGCCTTCTAGGAGTCGAGTTGACTTATATAGAACAATTAGAAGCTAATGAAAGCCCCGTAAACTTATATCTGGTCCTTAGCTTGAAATGAGTTGACACTTCTGGTGAATAGTTTTGGGAATTTTCAGTCCCAGAATCGAGGGACTACGACGACTTAGGGGAAGAGAGAAGAGTCTAGCCCTTCCAACTAGAATGACGTGGTGTCAGAAGGCACACCGATTAGACTTTGTCAACTGTATCGACCCTACATAAGAGGTGCAAGGACTATATGTTGACTGATATTTTGAATCACTGATCAGGGGTAAGAGAACACAACACACACCTGTGTTCACAAACTCGAAGGGATCTCTCGGGACTTGCATGATGAAACACAGTTCTCGCGGGGTGCTGTCTGATAAATGTCCCAGAGCCGAGGCTGGCAAGCGAACCCCGAGCGATCTCTCTCTTAGAGTCGAAAGTGAGTGAGAGCTTTCGACCAGGCACTAACCGATGAAGGTGTGATTGGCGAGGACAAGGAGGAGAAGGGAGATATCGAGACTATCGACAGCTCCACCCCCAACGATGAGCGGGGTGCGCATGGAACCGCAAAGCTATAGTAGCTTCAACTCCGGGGTCAACTTAGCTGAGCCCAGATATCGAGCTACCCGCTTCTGGAAGCCATGTCGCCGCCAATTGGCTCTGTGACGACAGCAAATAGTAGGTTCCCCGCAATTGCAAGGGCGCTTTGCCGGTCTATCCTTGATCACCCCGGATCTCGACCAGGTGTGCCGAGGCACAGAATCGCCCTTTTCTCGCCAAAAATCCACGAACTGGAAGCAATTGCGGGGTGTCGAGAGGCAGTTTGCTCTGTGTGAACTTGTGACTGACTGTGCGTGTACGCATGTTGCGCCGTCTCATCGCACCGAAGCCGGTCGCCTCTGTCGGTCGGTCAAAAGAGAGAGTGCTTGTATTGTACAAGATCGCTTGGTCCTCCATCCATCATTCCAACCCTCCCACCGCTTACGCTAGGTAGGTTGGAAGACGGGCATCGGTAGGTGGGCTGCCCGTGCCGGTCGAGCAATGTTATGCGTGTGCGTGCATCTGGAACGCCGTGGCTTTCGAGTAGACCACTGATATGTACGGACAGTAGGAGTGAGGCGATGCTGGGGGTGCTGTCTCTCTCCGGTCTCGCCCAATGAATCACGGGCAGTTCGCACAGGAATCGGACACGGCTTGACCTCTCAGTGGCTGCTCGCAGAAGCCAGAAAAGGCATATGTAGATTCAAGCACAGGATTTCGGAGGCACTGCGCCTCCTTTATTCACCGCCGATTTTCTCGCTCCGTTAGCGACTCTGCCTTACTAGAATAGATTGCTCTGGCGCCGTCTGACCAGTGACAACCGGAGTTTGACGATACACGGCAGAAGGTCTCATCTTATCAAGTGTCGTTAACAAGATCGTGTCACTGTGGCACAAAGTCTCGACATACGTTGATGTAAGGTCGGGCAATGTAACTGAAGGTACATCGGCGGGTAACGGCGCTCCAAGACGCTTGCTTACCGGGGCCTTATTACCTTAATCTCACTTGCCGCTACGGCCGTCAGAACTCTATCTGTGCCTCCCCCGGTCTGTTGGATCTTGGCAAATCCTCCCGACGGCTGCAGGTCTTAGAGTTATATCAATTCTTAAATCTCATCCCCAAATAGGTGGCCTCCCCAAGCAATGAACCGGGAGAGGCAACACAAAATATCGGCGATTTAAATAGCAATTCATAATGAAACCAATTATAGAGATATTCAAATCAGCATATCAAGTCCCTGACCCGGCCGCTTGGGTCCGCTGCAAAAAGAGGGCTCTAGGAAGTTTCCTAACAAGAGCAAGATAATCGCTTAGATCACCTTCTAAACTTGCAGCAGTAACGCTCCTGGACGTGTCAAGAAATCCGGTCTCACACGATTGAGTCGGTATACAAAAATCCTTCTGTACACTTGATAGGCGAACCTCATGTTACTATTCACATGGCTCAAGCGAACGAGGGAGCACCATGGAGAATGGCTTTCTATCGTCTAGATGAGACCTTCCCCTTTCCACAATATTTTGAGTTGGAGAGGAATTCTCAAAGTATACACTATCATCTTCTAATTGCTTATCTGGAGAAAATACTCAATTGCTTGTTATATATCGTTTGTGACGAAAGAAGCAAGAAGTCTATGACGCTTTAAGTCCGATTTCCATATTCCAACACCAAATGATCTCACCATGACCCTATGATCTGTTGTCTACCATCTGGTGTTCGCTCATACAGCACCGTGGCCGGTTTCAAATGGGTTCTTGATTAGGAAATCGTATTCCCGTTGCCTCCGGTTGCTTGGCGGACTTACATATTGGCATGGTGTTTTGGCAAACTCCACCGCCGAGCTAGTCTAACCCGGCACATCAAGCCGTCACAAATGATCTCTCGGAGACATCCATTTCCACATTGGGTAAGACGTGAGAACAAGCATACACCAGAACACAAGCTTTCTCACTTGAATGAGGGACAGAGTCTTTGCAGACTTCGGCGTTACTGACGCTGCCGGCTCCGTAAGTTGTGAAAACTACTAGTCTAATCAATCCCAGCGATATTCGTTAATCCGAACAAGATTCATGAGAAAGTGGTACCACTTAGGGTGGCCTTTGGTAGCTTAAGTATAAATAAATGATATCATCTTATCTCAAGATTGTAAGCTCATTATCAAGAATCTCTCAAGTCTTGTGATTAGCATTGCAATCCTCCTACTTCTAATGTGTTGAGATTGCTTTTGATACAATGGCACCAAATTACTCCAAAGACCAGCCCTCCGGCTTCACAAATCACATTGAAAAGATCGCCATCGTTGGTGTGAGTGTGGTTACCAAAACAGCCTCCCGAGGAGTACACTCACCATGTGCATAGGCTACTGGAACAATTGGCAAATATCTAACTGAGGCATTACTCAAATCTGGCAAGCATGCTGTCACGGCCCTTACTCGAGCAGAGAGCCCTGCCAAGTTTCCCGAGGGTGTTCAAGCCGCCACTGTGAATTATAATGATGAAAACTCCCTGATTGAAGCCCTGAAGGGCCAGCAATTTCTCATTATTACCATGCATACTAGAGCGCCAGCAGATGCGCAGAGCAAAATCATCCGCGCCGCAGCCAAAGCAGGCGTTCCATATGTCATGACAAATCACTATGGCCCTGATTCCAGGAATGAGCAATTAATGAAGGACATCATTATTGGAACACATGTTGCTGAGACTGCGCGGGAGGCGGAGAGTCTCGGTCTAATTCACATTGATCTCTCCTGCGGTTTTTGGTACGAGTTCAGCCTCGTTGGCGACAAGGATCGATACGGCTTTAATCTTGTCGACAACTCAGTTACTTTCTTCGACGATGGGAAAGCCCAGATCAACACAAGCACCCTAGACCATTGTGGCCGTGCGGTCGCCGCACTCCTCAGTCTACCGATCCTCCCGGCGGATGAGCATGACGACTCTACAACCTTGTCCAAGTACTTCAATAACACAGTATATATTTCTAGCTTCTTGGTAAGTCAACGAGAGATGTATGAGAGCGTCAAGCGTGCCACTGGCACATCGGATGAAGATTGGAAAATCTCCTTTGAGAGTAGTGTAGAGAGATACAAGGCAGCGGTGGAAGCCCTACCGAAAGGCGAGCATTCTGCATTTGTGAGACTTCTATATACGCGGGTGTTCTTCAAGAATGGAGATGGTAACTTCGAGGCCAAGCACGGATTGGCGAACGGCACTCTCGGTCTGCCGAAGGAGGACTTCGATGCGACTACCAAGGCTGGCATCGACGCATGGAAATCTGGGGAGTTGGAGCCATACTAAAGTCGGTCTCAATGATGAACACAGATATTTGGATGAGGAAAAGAAAGCGCTTTGGGATATCTCGTTGCCAAAATTCAATTGCCGTATAGATAATTTGAGTCTTCCTCGAGGTCAGTAGGTTGCTACCAAGTCCTGCAGTATCATTGGCTCCTTTACCTAGATGTAGGTTCTAGCATATTGAGTGTTGTGGCGCTAGAGGTGTTACATCGCAAGCTCGGGCTTCGAGGCCCCTAGCCCTCGAACACGATGCGTTTCAAGATCGACAACAACCCTGCTCTGTTCTTCGTATTAGTTAGATCCTTTTTATCGTCCAGAAAGCCTCATGCGTCTAGATCTCGGAAACTTTGAAGCTTGTTTCGATGCTCAACCAGTCGCAACCTAAGCCAGTTCGGTACGTTGTTACCGATCTACATTAACCCTCAAACATCGTCGGCTTTGGCACGTATACCCCTGACTTCACGGTCGATCATGGAAAAACTAGCCTATAGTATCCGCCTTGTTCACTATACACCTGTGTCTGTCTACACCAGAAGCTGCCCTGGTCTATATAGGGTCTCAGTGTGCGAAACTTCAAAGCCATTCAAAGCCCTTGGTGACCAATCGCATCACTACCATTGACCCCATGGATCACCAGCCGCTCCCGTTGCGCTACCAAAATCCCTGTGCCGATTGCCGTGAGCAATGACAACACTGCCTCAACGCCAGCGTCAGATTATTGCTTCACCTGATCTCTGAGGGAAGGGATAGCCTCAGACTAGAGGAGGCGGCAGCCAAAGCTCCCGAGCATATGGCTTCAGCATGGCGAAGTCTGCGCCAAGGGAACTCAAGCTTTTCCAAGATGCCAGCTGAGCTGTACCAAGTCTGTCAAGACACAGCCAAGGCTCGAGATGTATAAGTATGCTCTGATCTTCCGTCTTGGCTCAACTCTTCTTGGCCATCACCAAGCATCTCATCATCTTCTCTTAATCTTTTTCGTCTCATCAACGCCATCCCCTGGCGGTTTTCCTTCTTGAGCCAGGAGCTCTTAGTTTTGTCTGCACGTTGAACAATCGTCTTTATTTCACTTGAAGTTCGGCAATCTCACCATCTTTCATCCCGCAACCGCCAACATGAAGTACTGCAGCGCAATCCTCCTTGCAGCCTTTGCTGCCACCAATGTCTTTGCCCACGGTGTCGTAACAGACGTTCAGGGCGCCAATGGCGTGACCTTGCCTGGCTTGTCCCTTATCGATGACACGCCCCGCGACTGCGCATCGCCCCGTTGCGGTTCCGAGGCCGACACCTCTATCATTCGTAAGAACGAATTGGGTACTTCAAAGGCTTCTGCTCTTGGCCGTACAAATGGCGGTGGTCCGGTTGATGCCGCCGCCATGATTTCCCTCTTCATGGATGGTGCTAGTGGCAACAGCACTTCTGTCAAGAAGGCCCGCGAGCTTCATCTCGCCAAACTCGCCGCCCGTGGTCTACTGCCACGCCAGAGCGGCGGCACGAAGACTCCCAAGGGCACCGTTGAGACGGGCGTCAAGGCGGCCACCGGCGCTGCCGCATCAGACGGTCTGCCTACAACCGCAGATGACGGCACCCTCACAATGACCTTCCATCAAGTCAACCAGGATGGCGCTGGCCCTCTCACAGCGGCTGTAGATGCGACCTCTGGCGGCACAGATCCTTCAGCCTTCAAAACTGCCCAGGTCACTCAGAATGTCCCTGGCATCGGCATCGGCGGACTTTCGGGCGCCACTACCATGGATTTCCCTGTCGCGATTCAGATGCCGGCAGGCATGACCTGCCAGGGCTCTGTTGGTGGCGCCGAGAACGTCTGCATCGCTCGCCTGCAAAACTCGGCTCTGGCTGGACCTTTCGGTGGCTCTGTCGCCTTCACACAGAGCCCGGCTGCGAAGAAGCGCGCTATCGAGTATAACTTGGCCAAGCGCCGATTCGCAAGATCTTTCAAGAAGGAGGAGTAAAGAAAAGGTCGACGATTTCTCTCTGTGCGGTTATGGTATGAGTATGGCCTCAAGGTTTTATTAGATGGCGTCGAGAAACCATGTTGGATTCAGCTAGTCAGGAACAGGCTGAGGGGATTGATAGATACATTGGATTTCTGTATATAAGACCACATTCATTATGAGACAATTGGTAATGACTTAAGGAGAAAGGAGAGTGTAAATAATTAAATCGTATTTTTGCAATTGTACTTCCCTAGCGAGGCTTTCCGTTTTTTCCATATGAAGCGTTTTACACTTTTAGTCCGCCAGGCGATCCCATGGAAATCCATATGTGATAGACTGTTGCCACAATATGACGAGTAAGATATTGTGTCGACCGTATAATACATACTGGATCGACACTCACTGAAGTTTTGACATGACGGAAGATCAAGACACACTTTTCTGGTACTCTTAGTGCAATTTTCAATGCGTATCGACTCAGTTCCGAGGGTTATTTCTTGATGTCTGTGAATTGATGAACACTACACGAGCTTGCCCTTTGGTTCACGGTAGTTGAAGGAGCTGTGAGGCGAGGACTGTGCCACCGTTAGGCTAGATGCCGGTGTTTTGCTCTAGCGTGCAGAGTCTATTTTGGGCGCAGGGGTTGCTGTTTCACTGGGCCGTTCCGGAGGTCTCCCCACCAAATAGACCCCGCCCAAGCTCCCTGCCTGTTCTGAGCCATGATGCAACTCCTACGACTCCCAGCTAGACAAGCTCGTATCTGTCGACGAGACAACCAGACCACACTGAGCTGCTCGAGAAGCTTCTCAACCATATAGTGGCTCTGCCTACCACCATACTCTTTCAAGAAGTTATCAATCTTCATTGATCTTCGCTGGCAATTCGCTAGCTGTGACTGAACAAACCACTACGTCACGCGAAGCTCGGTCCGACCTCGAAATTCCGCATAGAACCGACCACACAGCTCCTCTTGTCCACAGCATTGTGAAGCCATATCGTCATTAGATTGACTCAGAGTTGGTGACAATGGAACATTTTGCAGCGCTCAAGCGTCGGGCCACCGATTTGGTTCAGAATTTGCCGCAGTCCATGCCCGCGATGCCTTCCGTCAAGCCAAAGAGTAATCCCAAGAACACACTCAAGGGAACATGGGAACGGATCTACGTGCCCCCTCTGCCACGGTCATCTCATTCCATTGATATCGTTGCCGGTACCGCTTACATATTCGGTGGAGAGATAAATCCTCGGCAGCCGGTCGACAATGACATGCACGTCGTCACACTGCCGTATAACAGCGCAGGCGGAGACTACTATGCTATCAAGGCTCGGGCTTCTAGGCCGGGGCCGACCATTATCGAGCCGGAGCCTATCCAGGAGGAGCCCGCAGCAGACTCTGGGGACAAGGGTAAGGGAAAAGAGCTTGACGACATCCCCCTCACCTCACCACCTCCCTTCCCGCCTGGCGAAACGGAACCGGTGATGGCAGCTGACACCTACCAAGAAGGTCCGGAAGCAAGCACCTCCAAGGGCAAAGAGCCGGCCGGCCCGGATCGCTCAGCCCTCGGCGACGTCCCGGCCCCTCGCGTTGGCCATGCCACTGCCGTGATTGGCAGCCGCATCTTTCTCTTCGGAGGGCGTGGGGGATCGGACATGAAAGCTCTTGACGAAGCGGGGCGAGTCTGGGTCTTTGATACAAAGGAACGTGCCTGGTCGTATCTTGATCCTGTGGCTCCCGCTGCACCGACCTCCCCATCTCCCGTCACGAAGCCAGCCTATCCTGCCCCGCGCAGTTACCACTCCGCCGTTGCGACAGACAAACCAAGAGACTTTGATATCAAGCCGATCAAGCGGACCGAAAGCTGGAAGGAGTGGGCTCAGGGCGACTCGGAAGTGATGGGTACGCCGCAGCGGCCAATTGTCGGCAATGTGGCAAACCGTGTCCGGGACGAAGACGCAGACGGCTATGGCACGTTCATCATCCACGGGGGATGCTTCGCCGAGGGCCGTGCAAATGATACATGGGCTTTTGACGTCCGCTCCCGCATCTGGCAGGAGCTCCCTGCTGCCCCTGGAAAGCCGAGAGGCGGCACTGCCATTGCTATTGCTAAGACTCGGCTCTATCGTTTCGGCGGATTCAACGGCGAAAGTGAAGAAGGCGGCCAGCTGGACTATCTTGAGCTTGCCGTCGACCGATTCGCTGATATGAGCGGGCAGGGTGAGGTCTATATCACCGCCCGAAGCGGCTGGAAGAGCTTATTGCCAGAAGCTCCCCCATCCACAGAAAGCGAAGAGGCCGCTGCTCCCCTGAATGGTGACGCCGAGTGGCCAGGACATCGGTCTGTCGCTGGTCTGGAGATGGTAAATCTCGGAGGCGGCCGTGAGTATCTGGTTCTTGCCCTCGGTGAGCGCGAACCCAGCGGCGGTGGACATGAAGCGGCGGGTAAGTTCTGGGACGACATCTGGGCATTCCAGGTGCCGCTGCACCATGACGGTTCGGCTGCGAGCGTCACGGATACTGTTTGGAACGCCCTAGGAAAGAAATCTGGTGAAGGCAAGTGGTTCAAAGTGGAGGCGGAAGCGTACGATGATGAAGATGATGGATCGGTCGATGGTCCGGGCCCTCGAGGTTGGATAGCTACAGCCGCAATGGGAGAATTGGAGGAGCGAGGTATTGTCATCTGGGGTGGTCTTGGAGAGGGCAATAACCGCCTCGGAGATGGCTGGATCTTCCGCCTTGGCCCTGAAAAGAGAGAGCCTTGAGAATTTTGAAATTAGCATTCGAGAAAATCAGAGCGAATCGCGAACTTCGCAAATGAGTAGTTAGCTGGGTTGGCCCCCTTTTCACGTCTGGACAGTATGAAAATAGTATCGTCTAGTCAGTTCAATTCTGTTTGATCACAATACAAGTCATATGTACAAATCTTCAGCCCTAGCAATCAACCTCGTAAGGTTTGCCGCCCTAGCCGTGGCCATCTCTATAGGTCTTGCCTTGTCGTCTCCGTGCCCCATGGTTCGCTCGTCAGATTGGTAATGCCGTTGCTGTTCTCGCACGACTCACGGCCGCTGAGCGGGCCGGGCTTGGGTGCCTTGGCGACATCCCCGGCGCTCTCCTTCAGTGCGGTCAACAGAGACTTGATCGTCTCTGGTGTGAGGTCCTCGTAGTAGTCGTCGTTGATCTGGATCATGGGCGCGTTAACGCAGGCACCCAGGCACTCCACCTCGATGAATGTGAACAAGCCGTCCGCTGTCGTCTGGCCAGCATGAATGCCTAGATGCTCCTCAATAGCCTTGACGATGGCGTCTGAGCCGCAGCCGCCAAGTTGGCACGGTGTCTGGGAGTGAGAGTGTTAGGATATGTATGACGCTCGACAGGCATGTATGGTGTGGATATGGGTGGCAGGGCCAAAAAGGTGCCGGAAACCAGGGAGCGCATGAATTGTATAGCTGCTTACCGTCGTGCATGCTTGGACGAAGAACTTGCCAACCGGCGTCCTGTTATACATGGTGTAGAATGAGGCGACTTCGTACACGCGCATGGGCGGCATCTCCAGGAGGCGCGCCACTTCGTTCATCACACTGATGCTAGTGAAACCATGCTGGCGCTGACCAAGATCCAGCAGCGGCATCACAGCGGCCTTCTTATATTGCGGGGGGTACCTCTTGAGAATCTCGGCGATAATCTGCTCATTTTGGGGAGTGAACTTGAAGGGTAGGTCGGGGTTGTTGTCGGGGGTGTTTCGGTGCTGTTTCCGGAGAGTGAAAAGTCAGCGTATACTCAATAACATGTCTGCGCGATATTTCCAATCTATGGCTCGGGTCCTTAGATAGCGCAGACGTGCTTCAGGGAGGTGAGGCCGAGGGATGGCGTCAAGGAAGATGGACGATGAGAAACGTACAACTGCTAGGGTGTCGCTCGGCCTCCGCGCTGAGACGGACAGAGCGCGGATCTGAGGCCGAGAAGCACGGCAGGCTGATCGGACAGCTGTCCGGAAGAGGAAGGGAGTGAGTTTGCTTGCCATGGCGGGCAGTTGGTGGTTCAATGGCAAGGAGACGTGATGCTCTCGCCGCTGCAATTCTCCCAATGCCGTCGAAAGCGAGCTGTTTCCAGTTAGAAATTGGATTGTCTAGGCTGTGATTGGCTGATGGCCCTCGGATAATTCATTTGCGCCGGGCGAGCTCCTTGGCTCTGGGCGGGCTGAGAAATCCAAAGCCAACCCTAACCCTCTCGGACCATATGTCCAAGAACATCAGGTTGACCACTACCAACATGCCTCATTTGACATTTCAACATCAGTCAACGGTGTTCAATGCTTGGACTCCTGGTAGATTGCATCATGCCGTGGCGTCTGGAGTTTGTGAGCCATTGGAGCCCTTCATTCATGCTATAAAGTATCGCTATCTACTTGACGGCATCGCTTACCATTAGGTAACCTGGAATCTCTCGTTGAGGAGCGCCCAAGCGAGCTCTCACAGTCTGTTTTGTTTCCTGGATACGATCGGCATCACATCTATTTACCTGACATCTATGCATTCAATGTTCGGCTTGGAGGGTAGTCCTTCCGCCTTGTCATTCTGTCACTCACTCTCCCGCCGTGACTCGTGACTTCTCGGGATGCCGCTTAAATTGCCCTTTTAAGGATTCGGCATTGAGCTTGGCTTCCGTGACGCTCTGCGCACTCGCTGTTTCCTCGGAGCTCAATCTAATGGGCACTGTATTTGAATAGATTGTTCTCACCAACGAAAGTCTGGGGCCCCGCCATCGCAGACTGCCGACCTGCAATCTATGTATCGGCAGCAAGACGATTCGCAGTCTCGTCGCTGTGCCGCCTTTCAGAAACGGGGTTTGGGGCTGGGCAATTTGTGGCATGCTGCCGACTGCTTCGTTATCAAGACTCGGCGCCCGTTATCCAGATTGATGCCCTTTAGGAGCCTGGTTTGGCTGCGAGTCGCGATGGATTTCGTTTACGCGATGTATATGTATATAAAAGCTTAGTGTAGCCGCCTGAGTTAATGTCGAGACTCTCCATCCACGCACATTGTCGCCTGCATATCATCGGAGTTCTGGGTCATTATGAAGCTGTCAGTGATTGTTGCCACTGCTTTTGGAATTGCTGTTGATGCGCATTGCATCTTTCAGGTTTGTAAACCATCACCATGCTCCTTCAGCAGTCGCTGATTCTAAATATCCAACAGCGAGTGTCTGTCAATGGAAAGGATAATGGTCAACTAGTCGCCTTGCGAGCGCCTGACAACAACAACCCTGTACAAGATGTCAACAGCAACGATTTGATCTGTGGCCGGGCTGGTTCCAAGTCTCAGACGATTATCAATGTTGCACCAGGAGATAAGATCGGGACCTACTGGCAGCATGTCATCGGTGGTGCTCAGTTTGCTGGGGATCATGATAACCCGATTGCTGCCTCTCATAAGGGTCCAGTGATGGCGTATCTAGCCAAGGTTGACAATGCGGCGTCCGCCAGCCAGACGGGCCTCAAGTGGTTCAAGATTGCACAAGATGGCTTCGACACGAGCAGCAGGAAGTGGGGAGTCGACAACATGATTGCCAACAACGGATGGGCGTATTTTAACTTCCCAACCTGCATTGCTCCGGGCCAGTATCTGCTCCGCGTTGAGATCCTGGCTCTTCACTCGGCTAAGAGTCAAGGTGCAGCACAGTTCTACACGAGTTGCGCGCAGATCAACGTCTCGGGCTCTGGGACGTTCACTCCATCACAAACGGTCAGCTTTCCCGGCGCCTACAAGGCAAACGATCCCGGCATTCTGATCAACATCTATGGATTGACTGGCCAGCCAGACATGGGAGGCAAGCCGTACACAGCTCCAGGCCCTTCGCCAATCACTTGCTAAGTTGCCTTGTGGCGGATAATCGAGAAGACCAAAGCAGTGGTAAAGGCCATAGATCAAGCTTGAGAATTGATTCAATAAGTCACGGGCAGTGGTGTTTACGTACAAGTCGACCTGAGTGTCAGGGTTTCAGCTACGCTCAAATAACCATAAATAAAATCATACATAGTTGTAACTCTAGGGTCGTCTGACATGACATGTTGATTGTGAACGAGATCTCGTCGTCGATGTGGAGTACGAGTTGGAGTTAGCACATATTTAAGCCTCACATGAGTTCCTACACTGAAGACAGTACACTGACCTCTAAGAAGCATTATGTACTGAACGCAAGGGTAGTTCTCCAGCCATAGCACACTGGGACGTCATTCTGCATGGGGCACGGCTCGGTTACTGCTTGGGGATAAGATTTTTGCTCAATCGCCGGATAAGCCGTTAGTGAGAACTGTCGGAGGACTCGGAATTTGGCAACAGTGAGACATTTTGTTCGCAGGCGAAAAGATACGCGACCACCGACTTCCGTTGAAAGTCGTCTCGTCGGCCGTGCCCGGAATAAAGGTAAGGGGAAAGGCACACGAGCGAGCAAGCGACCACCTGCCGCCGAAAATGAAGATCCAAACCCGGTTGCGAGTGACCATGCCCGTTTTGTCTATCTACGTACCTTCAAGCTTCCCAGGCTACATATAGTAGGTACCGAGGTTTGCACAGGTGTGGCAATTGACATGGAAGGTGCGCCGCATCTCAAGTTCAATCAGGAAGGGACATCCCGGTTGGTAAGGGAAGAGAAACTTGAGCTTTGGAGGGAATTAGCACGGATTTGTTTGTTCTTAGCGTCAAAACGGTGCTACATAACGTTACCAAGTATGGCTCGTGCCCCATGCTCGTCGTCGAGCTCAAGCTCTTTTGCCAAGGCCGGAGCCCTGCATAAATGTACTTAATCGACAGCGATCCGCACCGATCAGTCATCCACCTGCACACTCGAGCCGACATCACGCCTGGCGTACAGTACACACACAAACGTCGAGCGCATTGGATACGCTGGAAGGAACACTGACTGACTTGGGTGACTGGCTGGCACTGGAGCTCGGGCCCCCACATTTCGTCTCGGTAGAAAAGCAAAACATCTGCTCTCCGCAAAGCAGCGAGCTTTCCCATGCATTGACTGGCTGACTGACTGACTGTCTGACCGACTGGCTGTTCTGCTTGCTCTACCGCCTGTCTATCCGTGCACCCATCTACCTACGTACCTCACGTCACCATTCCTAGCTCATCCACCGTGCAATTCTCTCTCCCCAAAACACCCGCGCCCTCGCACTCGCGCCCGTCTCAATTGACGCTCCGAAGCTGTAAGTGATCCGTCTCCTTGTATCAGTCAAGATTCCTGTCTTCTCCGAGCTCCAGCCGGGCGCGCAATTCGAGGATTCGCGAATGGCGTGTAATCAAGTGAACCCACAGTGGATGAGGCGATAGAACTAAAGCCCCGCCGGCCATCCTGGTCGGACGGCATTAGGTCGCCATGCGAAATTCGCGCAAAAAGCAGGCCCTGCCGTCTTCCGGCGACGGGCCAATACAGGACAAGCTTTTTCGCTTTGCTTGGCTGACCTGCCCCATATCCGCTATTTGTTTCCTTCCATCTCTTCTTCTACCCGCCGCTTCCACCCCGATCCTTCTTCTTTTCTCCCCCTCAACGCACTCGACATTGACAGAAAGGCACTTTCACGGGCATTCTCTCGTCCTCAAAAGCCAATTCAATCTCCCCTCTTCTTCGTCACCGTCGTCTGTAGTTCACCGACCCTGACTCTAAATTCCTCGCCCTACAAGGTTTACCAGCGCAAGCTTAATACGCACATTCCCGACGCGTGACCTGCTACTTATACCTCTCTTCACCTCATTTTGAGCTCTCCACAGGTAATAACAAGACCGTCCCACCATATCTCTCACTCTATTTGTGTTTTGCGATCAATTGAGCATTGCTATGTCTGCTACAGAGCTTCATCGTCGGACGGTGCTCCGTCACGCTATTCGGAAGCACCGGCGTTGACGGGGCGCCAAGATACGGCCGCCAAGGACGCGAAGCTCGGCATCAGTCATCCACCATCGCACAACACGCAATCCTGCTTCTGCGGCTCAATTGACTGTTTTCTGCCTTTGAATTGTGACTTTCAAAGCTCTTGTGTGGACCGTTTGACTAATAACGCGCTTAGTCTCTCAAAAAATATCAAAATGCCTGCCGTCAAGTCTCTCATGGTCTCTGAGGCCTACTCCACCATTGCCAAGCGCAGCAACTGGGCTGGACGGGAAGCTGGTGTCATTGTCGTGTTCGCCATTGTCTTCGTCGTCGCTGTGGGTCTGTCGGCTCTCTTCATCCACAAGAAGTTGGCCGCCCGCAAGGCCGCAAAGGCGCAGTTCTAAACGGGAGCTCGGCTGAGGAAGGATGGTTTGGGCATGGCTTGGAGGAGTATTTGTAGGGGAAGCGACTCAAAGGGAGGATTGAGGCGGATTAGGGTGCGTGGAGGAGGAGGGAGGGGGCCCCGTACATGAAACCGAACACAGCTTCGTATGCTTTGAGGACGCCTACCGACGAACTCGTCGCGAACCGCGGAGAAGTATCGAGACCGGAGACTTTGGCAATTCGCTCTGGATGCCTGCCGCCGGACGATTACGACATTTCGTGACAGCAAGTGGAGGTAATGCACAGAATATGGGCAAGGTGAACCATCGAGTGCAACGTCGCATTGCTGTATTTTATCATATTTCCTAATACTACTGATACCACTGACTGCTTTCCTCGTGCTTGACCTGTGTACTACCTTGAAGATGTGCAGAGGATGCGCTCATTGCAGATAATTCGGCGCCTGGGGTTTATCTTCCTCGACAGTAACTTACATGCGCGCCGGACAGCCTTCAACACCAAGGTGGCCCGTGCGCTGCCCTTCGATGTTTTTCGGCCGGATCCCACCTGGCAACCGCGGTTACCCTTATATTAGTAAATAAGGGCGAGGACCAATATCTGTTGGGGTGGTCAAGTGGTATATATCTGGAGGCTGAAAACTCTAGACGCCTTCTGAGGCCCTTCTGGGACCGGATGAGCGCACTTGACGCAGTACCACAGCAAAACACGATCTGTTCGGTTTCGAGTAAGGCCACTTCGGCCTGAAATTTTTTGGCCTTTTTTTTATCAGCAAATACTACGATGTCGACCTCGAGCTGTGGGCTTTATCCGTCAATCACTCGTATCCCAACTCTGCCCTATGGTCCTTGGCTGTTCTCCCCCTAAGTGGAATTTAAGCCTTTACGGTTCTATGACACTGTATATGGGCAAGCACAAGCTGAATGTTATGATTTTTTAATGCTAGAAAACGAGTTCAATCCATTTCAGCCCGAATAAGGAGTCTCGACTAGTATTCTGGTTGAAAAGAGGAATCTTCTTCTCATAGAGCTATATGGCTTGCCATTATCATGATAATTTATAGTAACACGCCACATATACGCCATGTCTAGTACAACTCCATCTTCTCTAGGTGGATCAATCCATTTGCGGGCTAGATGCTACTGTTAGCATTTTCCAAAATCAATGAATGGCAATAGAACTCACCGGCACGAACTGGCGTAATTTGACACCTGCCTGCGTGAAAACAGCAGCGGTCTCGGTATCCATACTGTAGCCTTGGCTATAGACAACCTCGCTGATGCCTACCTGTGCAATCTTTATGCTACAGGTGAGACAAGGACATGTATCGCAGTACAATATGGCCCCCTCGCGGATGCGCTCTCGTCCAGCCTCCAGTAGCGCGTTCTCCTCGGCATGGATACATAGACATGTTGCCAGACCGTGCCCTGATCCCTGGCCCTCATTGCATCGAGGACACCCGCCTTCGCCGCAGTTGCGGATGCCTCGGGGCGTGCCGTTGTAGCCCGTGCTGATCACTCGCTTCTCGCGCACGAGCACGCATCCCACGCGCCGCTTCATGCAATTAGACCGCTGCGCGGCGAGCGACGCCAGCGCCATGAAGTACGTGTCCCACGAGGGCCGCAGACGGTCCTCGTTGAGCAGGTCGACCTTACCGAGGGTCGCGTAGAGGTGTGCCAGGTCCGAGGAGGTGTTGAGGAGGCGGACACTTGCCCGCGACATCAGCGGCAGGTGACCGTTGTCCGGGTCGTAGAGGTGTGCGTCAGAGGCGGCCGCAAAGTCCTCGAACGAGGCAATCTTGCTTTGCCGATGCCGCCGCTGGAAGCGCTGCCACCGCACGTTGAGAGGGGCGTCCACGCTGATGAGGACAAAGAAGGGCCGCCGGTGGTAAATGTCTAAAACGGCCTCGCTGGGAATGTCGGTCGTTACCCATCGGTCTCGCCAGCTCTTTGTGACGAACTCTAAGAGATCGTCTGCTGTAGGAAAGGAGAGGGACGTGCGGGAGCTTCGCAAGGATAGCTGGGAATGCCGGTAGCTCTCCAGGGCTCCTTCATCCTTCTGACCGTTGATTACATTCGAGTCTATACCAGCCGCGGCGTCCTCAGCTGAGGACGAGATCCCATTCCTCTTTGAATCTATTTGGGGCTCAATGTGAAGGTGCCTGAAGCCATGATGATCCACCAAATACTGTGCAACCGTCTTCTTCCCAGCGCATATGCCTGTAAGTTCTTTGTCAGTGTTTAAAGGCCTCTAGCAACAGGGACTAAGAAATGCGTACTGCCGGAGATACCAATGAGCATCTTGGCTAGTTCTAGGTCGCCAGGGTAAGCGAGACAATGTTTTACCCTATATTTAGGAGTATAGTCAATGTTAACTTCGGGTTCGGCCCATGGGAGGCTATAAGTTGCGGAGTGTTCAGCCTCGAGTCTCATGAAACGCGCTTTTTCTCAGACGCGGTTAGTTAGGGCTGGTAGTGGTCCATCTACACGAACAGAACGCGGAGGGCAGACGCCGAGAATCAGCCGGTGGGGTAGCGGCAAGGCATTGAGGCTGGCACCTAAGGTACCTCATTGCCCGGGCACTCACTCCGCATGACCAGCAGCCTGGGACATGGCAGGGGCGGAGCACCCAGAAGTCGCTAAGGTAAGCTGCAGGGCACCTCAGGTGGGAGCTCCCGTAATCCACCACCACCACCACCACCACCCATCTTCCCTTGTGCCGCCGCCCGAGAGGGGTACTGCACTATATTGTACCATCGGTACCTAAGGTTGGTCTGGTTGCTTGCCTTATTCCTCGATCACTCCACCACTTTCGACCCGTGACGTTTCTCCGTCTCTCCATGACTACATCTATCGAGCCTGCGACGCCCAGCAGCTGACCTCGGTCGACTTCTTCCTCTTCCAGTCCCAGCTCTTTAAAGGAGCAGGGGCCTCCCACAGTCCCTCGACTCCTCATCATAGCTCAACCCCTCCATTTGTCATTCTCCCTCACTGGAGCCGCGATGTGAGAGTCATCTTTGCCTGCCTGCTCGCATTCGTCATACTAACAATATGCTATAGTCTTCAGATTCCACAGTCTTTCTTCCCTCCAGGTTGAAGCGCCGTTCGATCGAAACTCTTGCCCTGAACGCCTAAAACGAATCGTTTCCGACGTCATTTACTTCAAAGACCTGGCAGGATTTGGAAGAACGAAAGCATACAACTCACACAATATGGAGCCGCAGCCTCTCCAGTTTGCGACCTTTGCGTCGCAGATTGAGCTGCCCTTTTACTCGGCCCTCATGACGTCGAAGCTCGATCACGACAAGCTCGATGACTCGGCTCGCTTCATTCTTGGTCTCTACGAGCCACGCGCTGGCGCAGAACCCGATGCTAGTACGAAGATGCAGATTCTAGGAAATGCACTCACGAGCAGTCAGTACGTAGGAGGCATTTGTTACTGATCCAATCTGAAGTTGCCCAAGTCCACTAACTCCGTCACAAAAGGGTGCCCCTAGGTCAGAGCCGGGCCGAAGGCTTGATTCGCAATGTCAATACGATTGAAGCGTTCAAGAACGCAGATAAGAACGCCATGCTTAACCAAGCTGGTCAGCAAGTTAGTATTTCTTTCTTGCCATACAAACAATATCTAGAGCCGGTTGCTAACGGGGCTCTTCACAGATCTGGGATGCAATCAAGGACGGCACTATCTACTCCGTTCCCTCTCTTCTGTCATCATTCACCGTACTATCCTTCGCCGACCTTAAGAAGTACCGATTCACGTACTGGTTTGCGTTTCCAGCTCTTCACTCTACCCCTCAATGGAAGAGAGTTGGCCCGATCGCGCACCTGGATTCCAAAGAGAGCACGGCGTTGGTGGAGCGAATCGGAACATGGAGATATATGGTGGACAGCAGAGAGCACGGCTTCTTCCTTGCTAAGAAGGTCAGAGGTGGTGAAACTCGACCGAAATCACCAATCGACCCGCCAGACGACATTGGCTATAAGTGGGAAATCGGAAGCTTGCGACAGGCCGAGTCGGGGGGTTTCTTCGATGGCGTCCCAGAGGAAGATCGCTTCGTCGCATTCGTAGACCCGTCAAACTACCCAGAGCATCCATCATGGCCGCTCCGCAACCTACTAGTTCTCATTCGCCAGCGCTTTCACCTCACAAAGGTACAGATCCTGTGTTACCGTGATGTGCAAGCACGGAGGCACGAAGCCCGGAGCATCATCATGACTCTCGCTATGGACGAGGTGGATAATCTTGAAACGACCACGATGCCGAAGGTGACAGGATGGGAGCGAAATGGTACCGGGAAACTCCTTCCACGTCAAGCGAATCTTGCAGAATACATGGACCCCGGACGTCTGGCTGACCAAGCTGTGGACTTGAACCTGAAGCTTATGAAATGGCGTATATCTCCCAATCTTAATCTCGATATTATCAAGAATACGTCCTGTCTACTTCTCGGAGCTGGAACTCTAGGCAGCTATGTCTCTCGAAACCTGATGGGATGGGGTGTACGCAAGATCACTTTCGTGGATAACGGCTCAGTCTCATTCTCCAATCCGGTGCGGCAACCTCTCTTCGAATTCAAAGACTGCCTGAACGGTGGTGCTCCAAAAGCTATCCGAGCTGCCGAGTCTCTGAAAGCAATTTACCCTGGAGTCGATGCAGAGGGCCATGTACTATCTGTACCCATGCTTGGTCATCCTCTAACGGACGAGGCAAGGACCAAGGCGGACTTCGACAAGCTGCAGGAGCTGATCGATAACCACGACGTTATCTTCCTCTTGATGGACACCCGAGAGTCAAGATGGCTGCCTACGCTCATGGGCAAAGCGGCGGGGAAGATTGTTGTGAATGCTGCGCTAGGCTTTGACACATATGTCGTGATGCGACATGGAGCCACGCCGAAAGACGGAACTGAGCAGACTCTTGGGTGCTACTTCTGCAATGACGTAGTCGCACCAGCAGACTCAGTCAAGGACCAAACGCTTGATCAGCAATGTACCGTAACTCGCCCAGGCGTGGCGGCAATCGCATCAGCCCTGCTCGTCGAATTGCTGGTGAGCATCCTGCAGCACCCTCTCAAGGAGCATGCGCCAGCTCCTGTGCCCTCATCCTCGTCGACGTATGAGCGAGACCCGCCAGAACACGCTCTTGGCATCGTTCCGCATCAAGTCCGTGGCTTTTTGTCCAACTTCCAGAACATGATCATCAAGGGCCAGTCATATCCCTGCTGCAGCGCATGTAGCATGCCGATTATTTGGGCTTACAAGAATGACGGCTGGCACTTTGTCAAGAAGGCTCTTGATGACCGGGAGTATGTGGCAGAGCTCTCCGGGCTGGCAGACGTGCAGCGCAGAGCAGAGGAGATGGCAGCCGATGTCGAATTCAGCGAGGAGGAAGACGAGGGAGAGGAAGATGGAGAGGGGGTGTTGGTCTAGGCCACCGAGTATCTCCAACTATCGGAATCCTACCCCTCGGACGACGGCTCATCAGGTGTTTGGTATCGCTATAGACCGTTGATTACCGGCCGCTACCAGCCACCAAGGATGCGGTGAGGGTTGGCAACCTACAAATCAACTGACGAGCTTGCCGGGACCAGCTTCGCCCACCACAACAGTCGTCGAATAGCACACGCAAGGATCAGATTTGGTAGGCGTATTATCAGGACCGGCGAAAACTGGGCAAAGTCTCGGATATGGCGGACTGCGATATCACGGACGGGAGTCTTCTCTTGTCCCAACCCTTGGATCCTATTGAGAGGATACGGCGTTATATCGGCTCAGGGAAGGAAGGCTACCTCTTTCTATCGGCTGCGACTGGGATACATTCGTTGGCGTAAGAAGTCCAACATACAACACTGTACCAACAGTTGTCTATAGTGATAGACAAAAAGTGCAAAGACTTTTCAGATGAAGCAATAGGATCCAGTTCTTCGACTCTAATTGAATTATATCCTACAGCGCATTACATTCTTTGACCGCGCTGTGGAGACCCCTGTAGCATTGTACATGCACCCCACGTTGATCGAAATAGCGACCCCGCTTCGGAAATCAGCAGACCTGCCGGGCCTAACCAGCAGGGTCAAGTGAGATAATGCTACCTTTGGAGACATTGAACGAGTGCTGCATGTTATCAGGTGGCACGATCACATAGTGTGGGGGCTAGCCTGCTGGAACTGCACACCGCTGCCTGGAGTATCATGGCCATCGTATCTAGATAGCGCAGGACCAGCCTACCTGGGGTATGATAGCTCACTGAACTGAACATCAAGTCAGTCCGATGCAGAATTAAGACCTACCCAAGGCAGACGGCTCGCAGAAAGTGGAGGCAGCACCCTGGGGGAACCGCTGCAGGATGCCACGTCCAGGATTCAGGTCGGCCGGGGGGGCTTAGCGTATCCGTCCGCTCCTTACTGGTTCCCGTGGCCTGCAAGGCCCAGGGTCAGCATGCTGTTCCATGACAAATGACAATTCAAGCCCGAGAAGATCCTCGGATTTTTTCTTTTCCACCTCCAATATTTTTATCAGAAATCTTACGAGGCCACGAGAGACTGACCGTAAGCCACAAGTCATCAAGGAGCATGATGTAGAGCGGTGTCCTACGGCCCGGCAGCGTTTTGTTGAAGATTGATCTAGAAGGAGGCTAGAAGTCCCTGCCCTTTGTACTGCCGATCTCGTTACAGTTTCGGGACGGCTGCCCGCAACTATCGTTGCACTTGACCCCCGAGAGTGTCTCACATCGCCAGCCATCACGTGGAGGCAGTGTATCACCGAGTTTCAATCGTTGCAGTGTTAAAGACCGAACACCTAGGAACCGGCGCTTTAGATTCCTCTCCAGGATTATAGGCGCCGTAAGGCAGGAGCAGAGTCGCGAGGAGGCTTCAGTCGGTAGACCCGCGAGGCTACGAGGCTACGATAGCATGACGAGGCTATGGCGCGGCACGCGGGCTGAGTCCGTTGAGGACTACGCCGGCGTTCTCATCTCACTGGAGGAGGCGCATCTGCACAGTCACTCGGCTCGCTCCGGGCGAACCGAATATGAGGAGCTACCGGATGACGAGCACGACGACGGCGACGAGGCTTCTATCTCGGACGGCGAAGGCGGCAAGGCTCGCGAGCATGAGGGCACCGGAATGCTGGAAATGAGTGCCTGCGAGTACAGTATTGCCGGATTGAGGAGAGAGGTTCGCAGAGGTGGCAAGGGCAAATGGACGGAATACGAGAGTCAGTGCTTCATTTTCTGCAGCAGAATTAGCTGCTGAGAATACTGCCCATGTGCTAACTTGGCACAGTGAAATCCAAGCTCATCAATAAGGCCATGCAAGATATTGGTATGGGCAGATATAATTGGCAATTGTTCGTCTTGTGCGGCTTTGGCTGGTTTGCAGATAAGTAAGTTGTTCAAATTTGATATTTAGAAAAGTCACTAACAGCGGTTCACCTTTAATAGCCTTTGGATGCAGGTGAGAAGTCCATTTAAATCTCTGTAATCCCAGCTAGGGATACGTGATTTAGCATTCCAAGCAACACGTTTTACTAATATCGAAGACAGGGTGTCTCACTAACGCTGCCGTCCCTCTCCGCTGAATTTGGTGTCTCAGAAAAAAAGGTCCGATACACAACCAGTTCGCTGTTTCTCGGGTTATGTTTTGGGAGTTTCTGTTGGGGCATTGGATCTGATATCATGGGACGGCGCATTGCTTTCAATTGCACTTTACTAATTACCAGCGTCTTCGGCATTGCCTCTGCATATGCATCAAGCTGGGGTGGTGTTTGTGTTTTGTTTGCCGCATTGGGATTCGGGGTTGGAGGAAATCTGCCCGTGGATGGAGCCCTATTCTTGGAGTTCCTCCCAGATGCATCGAGCTCCTTGTTGACTCTGTTGTCTGTCTGGTGGCCCATTGGACAGCTGAGCTCATCTCTTTTCGCTTGGTTCTTCATTGCGAACTGGCCAGCGGACGAGGGATGGAGATATTTTGTCATGACCATCGGCGCGGTCACCTTCATGATGTTCATCATACGCTTTTTCATTTTTCAGCTCTTTGAGTCGCCGAAATATTTGCTCTCTAAAGGCAGACAAGCCGAGGCTGTTGCAGTCGTTCACGGGATTGCTTTCAGAAACGGAGCAAAAACGTGGCTCACTGAGGAGATAATGGATGCTGTGGCAGACAACGAGTCGAGTTCTCAGTCAGCGAGACGGCTGTCGACAACAAATATACTCAAGAACAAACTGGAGGCCTTTTCCACAGCTCGCATACGGCCGCTGTTTAGTAATCGCAAGCTGGGCATGGCGACCGCGATAATTTGGTTCTGCTGGGCCACGATAGGGATGGGCTATCCGCTCTTCAATGCTTTCCTGCCGCAATATCTTTCTCATGGAGGCTCAACGTCATCCACGGATGAGGCTCTCGCCACTGAAGTCACCGGAGAGACTTACCGGAATTATGCCATTACCAGTATTGTTGGCGTTCCTGGCAGTTTGCTAGCAGCCTACACTGTAGACCACAAATCGCCTTTTCTAGGACGACGTGGCACGCTTGCAATTTCAACCTTGGTATCCGCAGTCTTCCTTTTCCTGTTCGTCATTTATGGCAGATCATCAACATCACAGCTGGCATTCTCTTGCATCGAGGCGTTTTCACAAAATATCATGTACGGCGTCTTGTACGCTTTCACTCCGGAGATCTTCCCAGCTCCCGTCCGAGGTGCTGGGACAGGAGTCGCTAGCTTTCTCAACAGGATGACTGGTCTGGTAGCGCCGCTTATTGCGGCCGGCATCCCAGGAGATGGCACTACTACCCCTATATACCTCTCAGGAGCGCTCATTTTTGCAGCGTTTTTAGGCATGTGCTTAATCCCTATTGAGACACGTGGCAGACAGAGGTTGTAGTTTTGTTATAGACACGTATGTAGAATGGATATATTCTCAATCGATCTGATCATCTCTCCGCGAAGATCACATACAAAATCTTGGAAAATCTAGGTCTATAACCTATTGCAAACCACTCCATATGCCATGATATCTTCAGACATTGAATGCGGTATGATGAATCGTTCCTCCAAGATGTGGCCAGAGCTCTCCCAAACCAATTGCATTCCCAAATGAAGATACGCCTAAGCCACAGTAACTTCTTCGCATGCTATCTACAGCTTCGCGCTCTCTTTGACCGAGCCAACCTTCAATTTCTCGCCGTACTTGTCCAGCACTTTCTGGCTGTGGTACTTCCAGAATGACTTGGATGCATCCTTGCCAGCCATGCGCTTCAGAATCTTCGCTCCACCGGGATGCTCATCGGCAAAGTCTGTGAGCCTGCGTCAGCAGTCTGACTCCCTCGCTCATCCCTTCACGGCCCCGGACTTGGCTCTCTCGGATTCAATAGAAGGGTGCAGAGTCTTCCGCGGGGATGTGAATCGGAGTGAGAGGACTTACCTGTTACATCATAAACTCCTGTATCCACGATGATCCACATGCGGTTGGCCTCATCTTTGTGCTTGGCGACGTCGGCCGTGGAGTATGATTCTGACATGTTTGAAGAGCCGTGGCGTGTGAAAAGGCGGGGTGGCACGTGGAAGGGTATGACAACGAGTCTGCAGTGGCGTTTCCTCGACCCGAGACTCCTATACTGTTTCTTCGGAGGTCCCAACAGGCGTCTTGTTGTTTGTCGTCTTCACTTCAATCGTTCCTCGGGATGATTGAAGACGAGATGCGAATGTGGAGGAGTGTTGATTGTAAATGCTCTAAAGCTGTTTGGCCGAGGTGGATCTGGGGTAAGCCGCCTGCTAGCACGTTGGACCTCGGCAACTCTGCTCAATGTTTTAGCTCCCGGCCAGGGTGACAAGCAATTGACGACCCCGTCATAGCATCCCCCAGCGAGTCTCACATATGAACATGTTCAAGTTTAGATAGACATGTCTTTGGTGGATTCAACATCACATACATCCCGAGCGCATATGAATGAGTCGTGATCATCTAGTAGATTCGCAGAATGCTACAATTGACGCCTCAGTGCGCTATACCTCTATGGTCCAGTCGCCAAAGTCCCAGATGCTCGACGCCCCTCTTCCCAAATGCCCTTTCTATGCAAAATGTAGACAAAGTGGAGTCTGATATACATCTAGGTGCTCATGACAGTTCCCAAATCTAATGCTCTCCTGAACATTTCTGCGAATCCCTGAGTACCGGAGCAATCACTTGCCTCCCGCTTTTCAATGGCTTTCGGGAGCCAATCCGTGATCTTCTGTATGCGATGTTGATTCTATCTAACGTTAGCAGTACTCTGAGGAGATGATTTTATAATGAACATACCGAGGGATGAGTGCTTATCCATTCCGGCGGCTGTATTTGTTGTTGTCGGTCCATTCTCTTCCAGAAATCCACCGCCTCTCGCGGATCGTAGCACGCCTCGGCCATCATCATGAGCCCAATATAATCGGCTTCGCTCTCCTGAAGCCGGTTCATCGGGCGTGAGAAAAGGACATCGAGGAGACCGCCGCCAAAGAACTGCACCACAAACAGCCCGCCGGGAATGGCTACTGAGAGCAATAGCAGGCTTCCAAGCAGGATGTTCACGCCTATTGACTGCGATAAACGCTCTGCAATATGTTCCGCCAGATTATGTGCTATTTCATGGCCCAGGACTGCAGCAAGCCCGCTCTCATTCCGTATCAAGGGCATGATACCGCTGTAGACGAAGACCTTGCCACCAGGGAGGACGAATGCATTGGCTGTTTGCGGATCATCAATGACCATGACCTCCCAGTTCTGATCTTCCATGCCGCTCACGGGAATGAGGCGCTTCATCACTCTTTTGACCATCAAAGTCCTCGGATCCCATTCGGGCAGAAAGCGCGCCCCGCCGTGCTCAACCTCGTAGAGAACTCGTTTGTATTGCATTTCGCTAACTTCTTGGACGCTCTCCTCGCTGAAGCAATTGAAACGCTTTCGGCCGCTGACAGGCACTGTCTGTAAATTACTGAAGTAGAAGACCACCGCTGCTAGGGTTGCTACAACTATCACGCCATGTGTATTACGGCTGCGAGCTATGCGCCCGAGCTGCCCCGTGGTGACGAGCGGCTTAGCGTTCTGGAGGCGAGGGTCATGATCGTAGCGCTGGAGTCGTCGGGGAGTTTGTGAGAAGAGACGTCGTGAGGACGGAAGTTTCGAGGCGATGGTCGGCTGTGCTAGCGGAGAATGGAACGCAAATGGACGGACAGGCACTCTAGGGGAGGCATTGCAGCATCGCGGAGTCGCAGGCCGAAAGGCTGGAACTCGAACAACGAGCAGCCGACGTGGAAGCATTGTCGGCGTTTCCAGTAGCAGCAATCGCCGTCTGAGAGTTGGAAGGTGCGTCAGCTGGGCAAATCTCCCAGCCGGCCCGGGCGCCTTTGTGAAGAAGCTCACCGGCTCGGGGTTAGCTCTCTGCTCAGGTGTGTCATCGCCCTCGCTGGCGATAGTGGGTCTTTCTTTTTAGGTCGGTGGATTTACGGCGAGCGATTCGTGTAACGATGGCTTGACTTGCTTCCCGCATATCCCCGGTAGTACGATACCCCTATCCTCTCACTACCACTTCCATCGTCGACAATGTTTCAGGGCACGCGATGTGTTGATTCTGCTGACATGATTGCCTCCAACTGAATGTCGGTCTTTCCTTTTTTTTATTTTTTGGTTCATATCTGTGGCAGAAAATGTCACGATCATAGGCCAACCCTGCCCAGCCACCACTCAACCCCTGAGTTCAGATGTCATCGACCATCTGGCGGTGGCGGCTAAAGTCTTAAACAAAGAGGGTTTCCTGCGCTGACCAGGCTCCTGGATTCCTTGTATGATTTCCAAGTCGCATCAGCCCGAGTGGCGTTCCCAGATCTTCCATGCTGCCGAAGAATTGATGCTTTCCAGACCATACATCCGAAACAAATGCTGCCGAGAGACCTCCTCAGCCAATGTAAAGCTTCCTTGTACGGTAGCCTGCAGAATCCTCCTGCGTCGATTCTGTTTGGCAGGTACTGCATGTCTCAGATATGACCTGTCAGTTGCCCGGTCTGGGCTGACCTTAATGGAATAAAACCAGGGGCAAACGCTAGAACGCTGCGTACTAAACGTCGAAATCTCTTTCAGACTCAAGAGCCTCTGTTTAAGAGAAAGCATCCAGAATTGAGAGATATATCATAAAGCCGAGGTGCTTTAACAATGTACGGGTGCTTTCGAAATCATATGCATGACGGTGTTTGCTAAGGGCTTGCGTCACTTGCATCCGTTACTTGTTCACATGTTCAACGCCCGATCACCGGCCCGCTCCGGTTGCCATCCGCGAGATTATGGCTAACCGAGAATTTTGTATTGATTGAAGCTCAGATCACAGACACTGGCTGCTTGTTCTGCCGGAGGGCTGCTAGAACCTGTGCGACAATGCTGTAGTGGGCATCTACGCGGCATATCGTCATCTTCCCTGGGACTCCTCGAACATGTGCTTTGTTCTCCTACTGTACACCGCCGTGAAAGGCTCTATATCAACATTGAGGTGGTAGGAATGTGGTGGAGGGTCACATAGCATCTCTCCCCGCTCTTACAATACACTTTGAGACGCGACAGCCACCCTTTCCCTATCTTCACATTGTACAAGAACATGTCTAGGTTTCTCTCATGCTTTTCATCACTGCTGTCTTACGATATCGATGCCTGGGTAGTTGTTCAACTGCTGCCATGTGTCTGTGCTACCTTGGTGAACCGTGCCATGACTGCTACCGCCGCTACCCAGTGCAGCATAGCTGCTCTTGCCTGGTGATCAATGCTTCGCCTGGGCTAGGCCTTTGTATAGGTCGTCAAATGCGAGGCTGCTTCGGTTGTCGTGGCGAGGAATATGATGAATATGATAGATCATGGATGCCAGCGCATAATCAATGGCTGATGACTCCTGCATGTATTGCTCCCAAGCAGCAAGCCTACTTACAACTGACTGCATTGCTCTGGAGCCCCAAAGATGCATCATTGTTGAGGATGACTAACATTCATCAGGTCATAGAGTCAATGCGTACATGGATTTGTTAATTACATATAGAATGGTGAGGAGAGAGGAAGGTCTGGGAAGAGTATAAATGTGCCAGATTTCATTTTCCATCAAAGAAAAGCAGCGAGCAACAATCTTATGCTCGTCGCCAGCGTCCAGTTCAAAACTATAGCAACATACAGAAACATCATACTGTTGAGTATATAGTGGATCCAACTCGTTTCAGATCTCTTTGGATATCACAGACCATCTCATTGTCAAAGGCACCAATTGTAGCTGTACGCTGTCTAAGTCTGGTTGTTCGGTATGCCCATCTGTCAAGAGAAATTCCCTTGAACTAACAAAGCTCTCTGGGAATAGGTCTCGTACACAAACAACAATGTGCGATTTTGACGAATATCTTTTTACTTGCGGGTGCTCACGCGTGAGGCTCAAGAGCTACTGCCACTTCGCCCGAAACGAACCAAGGCACCGGTGTCGTGGCGTCAGAGTCCTAAAGAATGTCTGGGAGGTGCCAAATCCCTGTCCCAATCATACACCGCAAACACAGCAATCACAGTAGAACGGACAACTTGGACCCAGCAGTTAGCATGGTAAGCCTATTTATTACAAGCCTTTCCAGCTATCGAGTTTTCTTCTCATTAGCTGCTAATGTTGACTATGTAAGGCAAGGAAGATGGCCAGAGCCATGCCCATGGAAACAAACATCGCTGTGCGTCATTGCTGCAAACTTGATTGATGCTAGAAGCTCAAAAGTTAGGCATCTCACTGATAGAGGATGAAGGGGGTTGTATCTGGAGGCGTATTTTCAAGGGTCTCATGTGTGTTCAGCCAGTCTCAAATCTAGAATTTAAAATTTAAAAAATGGTTTGGTCACGGCATTCTTCGAAAGGGCTTTTCAATATCAATCTCCGCAATGAAAAGTCGATGCATCGTGCAGATTCGAAGTCCACCTAGATTGCTGTCCCATGGTGAAGTCAGTTAAATCTGACTACATTTCGCTGCTGTGTTCTACCGAAGTGTAACCTTGCTGATGCGACCATGTGGGCCATGCAGACAATGTCACTATCAGAATATTCGAGACGGATAGCCGAACGGCGGCAAACATCATATCGGACATCTTGCGTGTTACAAGCACCGATGACGGCGGCAAAAATATGACGGCTCACACGGGATGTTGATTCGCTTGATTTATCTCGGTACTAAGAGTCCTGAACAAGCTTATAACGAATCTTTCGAGCACATAGCTTCTTGTGAAGATCTACGGAATACTTTGTGAACTTCCTTACATCGTCAGGAAAGATCCAAGTGACACTGAATACTCAATATCAGGAGCCTTTCGTTTAGCATCAGGTGAATTGCTCTCAACATGCCCTCTGATAGCTTATATTAATGTAGGCATTGGCATTGTTCTGAGTAGTCGCCTGTTGGATCTTCTTCGTGACTTGAGGATACCCTCTCGACCGTATAATATATTCAGCACGATGATGGATTATAGACTCCAAACCGTGTGAGCGAATCTTGCACAGTCGACAAAACGGCCGTGGCTACTACGTCCATGCATGCATGGGCCTAGAAATTTGCTTGTATAAGGATTTTGTGGCTGTGCAGTGTAACACGCGGATATGATTGTAAAAGAAATCAAAGCCTGGGTTACGAAATCCGGAAGCACTGTACGTTTGCGCAACTTTCATGATCAGAAGTGTCAAATATCAATTTGCTTTCCCTGGCTTAATTTTGTATTGCCTCGAGCAGACGTACTCAATGAGCTTGCGTTCCTAAACCAAAAATAATGAATGCTCTAGCGATTCTTCCCGATGTCATCGGCTTGCGAAGCTGTTACCGTGTCGATACAAAACCCTTGAGATTCTCGACCAGATATGACACGTATGAAGATCTCTCAAATCTCTCAAATCACAGAGAGTGACTGTATCTCATCCGCCGTTCCTCGAGTCATTCTAAATTCGTGGCTCCCTCGACAACGCCGACAACATTGTAACGCTTCGAGAAGAACGTCACCCAGTCATTCAACGTCGACTTTTCCTTGTCACCCAGATCCTTCCAGTCAGACCGAACATCCTCTGGTTTGGTCGAGGTCTTCCCTAGTGCTCGCGATGCATCCTTTCCAGCGAACACTATAAAGTCACATTAGTGTAAATCCACACGGTTGGCCGGATTACTGTCACGTTCACAGGCACAGCAGCCAGCACTTCAACTTAGGACTCAGTCTATTACATACCGTTGTATGAACCACCAGGTTGGTAGGCCTTGTTGCCAGTCACATCATATACCTTGCCCTATGATAATTAGATTCGGTCATCAATGAGAATGTGAACTTCAGCTGGATCATACCTTAATGGCAACGTAGCATTTGCCTCCGGCTTTGCCTGTTGACTCACATTAATAGAAAGCTCAGCGAGAGAAAGGGGGAAAAAAAGTCAATGAATGTGTCCACGGTTCGGATGACAGACATGCGAGGCATACAAATGGACCATCCAGGGATGAATTGATAGAGAGCCGATAACATGGGAGAAAAGTGCACTTACCATCTGCCTTGGCGAGCTCTTCTAGAGAGATAGGGTCATCTTTAGGCGGATCCAGCTGCACTGGCGTTTTGGGCTCAAATTTTGCGGCCATCTCTATGGCTATATTGCCTTGCTTGAGACTGCTTTCTTCGGTTGTCGAGGAAGTCGAGAGAGAGGGGGGGAGACGAGTAGAATAATGATCGCTAAAGCAAACCGAATGCACGTCACTATGCAGCTACTTCAGGAGCAAATGCGTGTGTGATAGAGATATTGTTTGGCTCAATCACAAACGAGGCTCAACAAGCTATTTGACCGGACAGCTCTTGAAACAGCCTCGGTCGGTGCAAGTCGGTTTCGGAGTTGTGGTTGACGGTTTAGTGTGGGGTCCCCGCTGATGGCGAGCAATCGATAATCATAGCCTGTGATTCGCCAACCTGTGGAGGAAACGGATCCCTAGGTATACTAAGGTACAGCTGGTAGGGAGGATTGATTGCGCCATTATGCAGGAAGCAATCAGTGCGAGGTCCCCTAAGGAAGCCCCCGAAACGTCATAAGCCAATCTAGCGGAATGCATGCATGTAACGAAGCTTGGAGCTATCGCCCCATCAATAGCTGCGCTTCTCAAGCTCCGTTCCTGCAAAGCTCCCGTTCCGAAGACATCCCACAATCCGAAGGCGCTGACAGCCAGCCATTGATTATAAATCTCCCAGGACACACGACCTGGAGATTACATAGCCAATGTCTACATCCGCTGCGACAACGCTGTCGCTCTCGGGGCCGATCCGTGCTCTTGTGCGAGTCCAAACACGATCATGTCAAACCGCCACGGTCCACCTGTCTCTTTCGCATCGTGGCACTCGCCATTGGCGGTCGACCTTTACCTTCGAGGTCAGGCAGAAGCGTTGCCAATCGACCGCACGCAATGCGCGAGGAACACCCCCTCCGCCGAAACCATCGGCAACAGGAGCTATATTTCGCATGTTCGGAGGCAGCTTTCGAAACCTTCTCAGCACCTTTCGCGGCCAAAGACTGAAGGCTGTCTTTCGCCAGAACCCTGAAGAACTGGTTCTAGCTCTTGTCATGTATGCACCAATATCGACCACATTGGGCTTGTCGAATTCGCTAACCCCTCTGAAGTCTCGCCGCTTGCGTTGGCATCATCGTCTATGCAGTCCGACTGTACTTCACATACTTTTACTCGCAGCAGTTTACACGATATCCGGCACCTGTTGCAAAGTCTCTTCGCCGCGCTCTCTACTATAGTAACTACAGTCCTGACCATAAGTTGGCGCTCAAATACTACAAGCTCGCCCTCGAGCAATGTGACGAATTACGGCTTGATCCCTTTTCGGATGAAGTCATGGGAATCAAGATACAACTCGCAGCATGGCTTGAAAGGATAGAGAACTACGAAGGGGCTATCACCGTTCTAGAAGCTCTGCTGAAGGACTGCAAAAAGTGGGTGGATGTCATGGAAACGAGTGTCAAGGAGGGCACTCTTGCAAAGACAAATGCCTCTCTCCTACCACCGTCCGGCCTACGAGATGACCCCGACAAAGAACCGGCAGCACCAGAGACCCTGTGGGGAAAGCGAACCAGAGTTCTGGCGAAGTCAGTGGGAATCGGCGTGAAGTTAGGGGAGCTATATGCCGATGAACATGTCCTGGAGCAAAACAAGGCGCACAAGAATCTTACCTGGGCTGTGGAAACAGCTTTGAAAGAGTATCAAAGACGCACTGTGGACGGCCTTAAGGAAGGTGAAGGTCCTTGGATGAGTGCAGAGGATATGGGAGGAGCCCTCGAGTGTAGGTTTACGAAGCCTCTTATGCCATTGAATGCGCGAACCTTTCCGTGCCATACGTTATCGTGGCAGTTCATTTCGAGAGCAATTTACTAACACCACGTGTAGCTTTGGGTCACAGTTATGAGAGGAAGTCTCAGTTCCATCTCGCTGTCCCGCTCTTCTTCCAAGCTCTTCGACTCTGTCGCGACCAATGTCACATGGCAGTCATAAGTAAGATAACCCAGAATATACTACCTGCTGGTAGCTCCGCCGAGGCTTAGACCTGGCGGTCAACGCCTCAACAGCATTCTGCACGAGATCGAGACTAAACATCTACTAGTGAATAACCTAGCAGCGTCGTTTGCACAACATCCTCTTCAAGCGCCATACGAGACTCTAGTTGGCATTTTACCTGGAACGGAGACAGACGATGCTTCATCGCCACCTGCGCCTCAGAAGCAAACACGAGCTGAGCTCCTAGGCTCTGCGCGCCGATGGGCAAAGAACGCCTACCAGCACGCCAAAGAACCCACCGGCGATCAGCGAACGCCTGAATGCGATGAAGCTTGCGCAGTCGCTCTCAACAACCTTGGTGACATCGCCGCCATGACAGGCAAGGCTGAAGAAGCGCGGAAGAAATACGAACAGAGCTCAAAACTGAGCCAGAAAATCGGGTTTACGGACGGCGTGAAGCAAGCAGAGGCTGGCTTGCGACGACTCACGATGTGATCGGTATCGTCACCTTGCTGGGCGGCAAGACTTGAATAGCCTATCTGGCTCTGCACATGAGATCATGGCGGGAGGCAATGGCAGCAACCAAGGAACACACCACGAAGGATCAAGAAGCGATATCGGGCGATTCCTGGCCCCGGAATTGTCTCTACAGACGGCAGTTCTGAACGGCAGTCAATGCGATAAAGGACCCTGAAGTGGAAGCCAGAGAGGATTTGTGCGGCTAGCAATTAAGGATAACCAGATTTGCCAATTGCTAATTGACAGCTCTATGCTAAATGTCAGCACGCTTTAGTGGCAAGCTATCGCTCAAGAAGCCCTACACTACAGCGCACGCTGGGAAATCTTTAGCAAATTTCGCGTACCGATGTGTGCACTGATTGCTTTACAACGTCGAAGCCACAGCAGAAGGACGCAGGCTACTGACGCGATGCAGTGACGACATTGTCAGGCCACAATTGCGTCTTTGGCAGTACCGAAAGACATCCGCGCCGTGGCCATGGTTGACTGGGCATTGAGAAATGTTAACCACACCGCCAAACTCGGGATCTTAGTCAGTGCAGCACGTGGTACAGGGGGTAGAGGGTGGTGGTCTACCGAGTACTTCGGCGGCTTTGATGCGGCTTTGGGCAGGCAGGGCCCAATGAGGGACGGCTCCGCATGTTTGGGGGTGGCCTGGACCTACCATCGCGAATACCATCAGGGGCCGTCACGCCTCCTCACTGCAGCACCACCCGAGACCCTGGGCCTGCGGCTCGCGAGAAGATTAGATGATCATCATGTCTATATCGCCACCAGACTGCTCGTCGCAATGAGTTGCCCCAGATGCACAAGACTTGCGGGCTTAGACGTCCTAGACCCTTGATACCCCAGCATGGAAAGAGCCCGACAGAGCCAATTTTATTCAGCACCTGGTCACCAGCCGCCTCCCGAAGCGACGGGCGTCTCGTAAACTCAGATCGCGCAAATCTGCAGTAGTATTGCAGGTGGGGGGATCTGTATGTGACATGCGCTGGCGTTGACGATGGCTGGAGTACTCTACTTTAAGCACGGATTTGAAGACTTGTAGACGCATGTCTTGAGGCATACAGGGACAAGAGATACACAGGTGAAAACAAAGAACCAGCGCTAGATCGACTCAGATAAGACCGTCTAAATCGAACTTCTTCTCCTCTCACTACTGGCGCAGGCACTTGTTTTGATTGAAGGGGGTTTTTCTCACCAACTTCCGAGTCTAGCTTGAGTTGACGATCCAGAAATAGCTTACTTACACACTATATCTGCAGCCACGACACGGCGCTCTTACTGGATGGGTCAGCCGGCCGAAATGCCGTTCGTGATGATGGGTACCGGCCGATTGCACGGCTATTCTTTTTTGCTTCTTCCTCTCTCTCTCTCTCTCTCGATTGTCCCCTGCTCTTCAGTCTTTCCTATCTTACCCACCTCTTCACATGCTTCTCATTGTGGCTGAGGTTTAAATGGTTCGTCTCTAAAATAGCACGTGTCAAGCCAGCCTCATCATCCAGGGGCCCGATCGACCGTTCGACCCCAACACAAATGTAGATTTCTCCCAGGCGAACGGCGAATGCCTACACTACAGCACGCCCCCAACAGCCCTGTCTGGCCGGACCGTGCACGCCAGCGCCCTGGGGACTCCCCTGTGTATAATTTTACATTCTGACCTGGGGCCCTTCCCGCCGGGCAGGAGACACCGGTCATACTGTGGTGTAACCTGAGATAGCACGGCCACAACTGCCCGAAGCAGCGGAGCTACTGCGAACGACGTGAGATGGGATGGGAGCCCGGCATGTCTGTATGTATGGAGATGGGGCTAGGTGTTAGAGAAACCAAACAGCCCCGAACAATATCCGCCCGGTGGTCTAGGTTCCATAGCAGATGAGCATAAAACCCTCGCATAAAAAGATCTGGAAGGAAGGCGGCCAAACAGACAGACAGACAAACCGGGGGTTATGTTCGCCATCCTCGGAGAAACGACACACTGCAACGCTCCTTTGTGAGCTGTATGATGAGGGGTGCGCATGGATCATCACAGAGCAGGTCTTGTTTCGAAATTAGGAGTGAAGAAAGTAGACATGTACGCGGGAGAGTAGGATCCCACAGATTGATGCGCGTGGATGCAGTACCGGGGCCGAAGGAGGAGGGGAGGAAGGGGAGGGGCACGGCGGACGGCGGAGCGTTTTCTTTGGGGATACCGGAAAACGGTGAAGCGGACGGGGGTCAGAGGGGGTGCGTTTGGAGTCGGAGCAGCACTACTGAAAGGATGCTGACAGTGCTCGTGTATTGGCCAGAGGCACTGAAATGGCGGTCTTGGCGCAAGGAGTACCTAATTAAGCTTAAAGTTTGGATCCAAGGAGCGCAAGGGGGTGCGCCTCTGGACGATATGGACGTTTTGGGCTGTGATATCCTTGACGCATGTATATGTACACGTCGTCAATCACAGAAGAGCCAGTCTCGCCAGTCTATCAATCCACGGCGTGCAGAAGGAACCTGGAAAGATTCAAATTGTCTTGCAGCTTATTAGCTGTGTCATCGGGGCTGGTGGTGGCAGCAGCAGAAGGACAGCACATGTAGGCTGTAGCTACCTGAAAAGGGTAGGGTGTAATTGGACCCTTGCTTGGCGACCCGCGAGGGTGACTTGGCGGGCGGAAGAGCAGGCGGGAGCCTCTCCGCTCTACCGCGCCGACGACCGTTATGCTCTCCGTTGCGTCGCTTCGCACGGACTGCAACACAGTGAGAACCTTGTTTCTTGGGCTGCACTGTCCTACTAGACTCCGTAGGGGCCCCTCTGTGAGCCGTGCTCGTGATCTTGGACTACAGTTGCTATCGCCGTCTCGAGAAAACTTACCTAAGCTGGTTAGATAAGGTATTTCCGATGCTGGAGGAGGGCATCCGACGGGTCAAGCGACAATGCAAATATGGGTTATCTCCGACTTAGGTCATCTGGATTCCAGATAGCTCCATCTATGGAGAATGAGTCCACTGCCTAGTATGCAGGACAATATAGGCAATGATATTTGCTGTGAGTGGTCTCCGCCATGATCACCATGCTTGTCTTAGGTAATATGGTTCTTCAGAATCTTGTTATCCGTGTTGATGTTGTGCTACACTCTGCAGACTGTTGTGGTCCTTCGACTCTGATAAGGTATTGGCGGGGCGTTATCACTTTATCAAAGAAGTCCTATCATGGACAAACAAGTAGTGTCGTAAATTTGCCGATAAGTCTTCATCTTGCCTATTACCGAACGAGCCAGAAGCTTGGCTGGGCAGCGGCCTATCAGGTGCCAATCTTCGCGATCATGCAGATGAGGTGACAAGGGCCTGGCTCTAGGTAGACCATTTTGCAGCGCACGATTAGGGCAGGCGAGCGCTTTGATACGAGCTATCTGCTCTCTGGAAATGACACTGGAGATGGTAGAACCGCACTACCGCCTCCGTAGTGCCGGGCGCAAAGCCTCTGGGGGTGGCTTTCCAATGGCGGCCGTGCCGAAGAGAGATAATTCATGACCGGACCATGTTCTACGGCCCCGATACTACCAGTGTTAGATGGTCTCGGTCGCAGTTTTAGAACACTCAGACTTAGTTGCTCAAGGCTTCGAATGATTGTCCAATGCTGATTTTGGCGCGGCTCTTATCCTGGAAAAGAGGGTAGGACTTTGCGATCGATAGAGATGAGTGTACTAGGAAAGAAACTCCGCTACAGGGTGTGACCGAGCCCTCCAGTTACTCACCATTTTTGACTTTCTAAAGAAACCCCTCGCTCATGCAGTATCGCCATAAACCAATGGAAAATCTACCTCCGACCAAGACCATATGAAGTGCAAATCTCCATTTGGCGAGCATGTCTTAATGCAAGCCACTAGTCCGCATCTAAATCATCAGAGGCATACCCAATGGTTGTCTTGCTAGAAACTCCGCTCTTGAGGCAAGTGGATTCATCGAGGTCTTCGAGAACTTGAGATTCTGCATCCTTTAGGTTACTGCGCTCGGTTAGTTCGAACAAAGTTAAGCCGAAGCTAACTGAACTTCTAACACAAGCATCGCCTCGCTACCCACTCGTAGGGCGGGACTTCGAGGCCAGGCGGGAGATGGCGGCAAAGCTAAGCAGGTAGCTTGGCCACGATAATATCCTTAATGTTAGCTGACGCAGAAGGTGGTTCTGGGTCTTTTGAGGCACCTCTTTCCCAAATAAGGAATTGTGTGTTTATGGCATTGATCATCAGGCTGTGAAGGCTTTTAAGAAGACTCTCATCAAACGCTGGTCGAGCCGTTCAGACTTTTGTTTTGCCGTACCGACAGATCTTGAGTGGCTTTACTCTCAAGTGAATGGTCCTAATCGGAAGAATCGCCGAGATGGCTTGTCTGCCATCAACCGTGCTGGATTCCGACAGGGTACGTGGAAGAACTTGACGGTGATTGCAGGCTTTTGGACCCCAAGACGAGACAGCCAGTAGGGAAACTCCCCAGCCATTCAACAACAGTGCAGATGCAGGGCCACTTGAAGGCTCGTGGCTGATGTTTTAGTAGGTCGTGTTCCCAAAGTAGCTCTGTTAACTACTTCGAGTGCGATACGTCGCAAGCATCATACAAATGTGGCAGCAAAAAGCAGGGTATAATGAATCGGACCAGCTGCCGGGAGATGCGTGTCGGTGCAAGTCTTCGCGAGTACCAGAGCGCAGGCCTCCCCATTGCACACATGCCGGTAAATTTGCCCAGCGAGGCGGTAGTTCCAGCCGGATCCCGGAGACAGGTACTGTCTTTGAAACGGACCAAATCTGATGTCTGGAACCCTTCAAATGGTTGTCAGGGACTGGATGTACCAGACAACTAAGGATAAGTCTAACGGCTATGATTCTCTTGTCCAGTTGTTCACGGACCCCAAATGTCGTGGCACAGCCCTGTGAGCAGAGCTATTCAAGTCCTAAGCTCGAGGCGGTACGCCAAGACTTACTAAGTCAATAGATGAAAAGGCGGGCTTATGGACAGACGGTACAGAACTCCCAGAGGATGAAGATTCCGCAGTTGTCACCGAATGCTCTTCCCGTTGACAGGCCAAGCCAGTGGCGTCGAGCAAGAAGGCAACTTATCGTAGCCAGCAGCTGCAGCCACCAAAGAAGACGCGAAGATGGACCGACATGAACAGTGCAGAAAAAGTAGGCTCGACAAGACCTTTGGAAACTCAGGTCAAGGTTTCGAAAATCGAAGATTGATACCCAATGTACGATCGAACGAATGAAAGGGGATGATTGGTATTTGCATCCTTTGATGTCTAGGTATGGCCGTTGTAGACTGTCGTCATTTACAGAGCTCTGTCTCCCTTAGGTAGGTAGCTAGGTAGGGTAGGTAGGCAAGATATCATGGAGACAAAAACGGTGGTGGTGCCTTAGTCTCATGCAGGCCTTGGCGTAAGGGCCGTTCTCACAAAACGGACCCCCCATTATGGCCCCTCACAGTGCGTGAGGAAGATCCCAGAGATCCTCCTCCACTGAGATAGGCAGGCATGCTGGTGATGAGTTGGACTGGGGGGCGGAAGGCGCGGCCGTTAAGCTTCCCAGCCTTGATCTTGGACATACCCAAGCTACTACGCTACCTTACATGCCTAGGTAGTAGAAAGGAACACGAAAGGTAGAGCGGGTTGACTTGAGGGCTTGATTTTGGGTGGTCAGGCAAAAAGGACGGTAAGGTAGCACTAGGAAAGCTAAAATTCGGGTGCTGTCTGGCACTTGCACTTGCCTGTGCTATGTCTCTACCTTGATCTCCGTATACCTCCTAGGTAGTTTTGAGCGCTGTGCCCATAGGGGCGGAAGGTGGCCATAACATCATACGACGACAGAGAAGAACCTCTCAGAAAGGCAGGAATTGCGATGAACGCCCGTCCATCCAGCCATCCATTCTCATCCTCTCGCCGAGCCGAATCGAACAATATCTAGTGACGTCACTGGCGGATTTGATCTGTAAGGCATCTTCATTCCTTCAAAGAAAAGTAGGTAGATTGGTTGTATGTAGGTCGGTGCGTTTCATGGCGACGGTTTACCGTACAGGACCGACCGTTGAGGTGCATGGACAGCGGCGGGCAAATCGCGAACTTGCGCATCCCGCCATGCCGCGCCCCCGAGAATATACCGTGCATCTCCGGAACTCAATTCCTACCTACCCTGCTGCTGCTCTCTACTGGATTGCCATGGCTAGCCGGCACGGATACACTCTGTAAAAAGTAAGCCTTTAACTCCTCATTCAAACACCCCTGCGCAGTATATTCATGCTCGTCGAGTGAGCGAGGAAGGAATAGTGTAGGACCGTCGGTAGTGAGTAGGTAGGGTTGGTGTTCACAAGAGCACGCTTTCTCATTGATGAGTACGACGGCGGTATGCGGGCCAGACTAAAGATACTTTCCTAGCGTAGGGTATGTAGTCTAAGTAAGCCAAACGCCTGGTGAAGTACTGTACGTATTGCCATCCAGAGCGGTACCTCGAGGGTTAACGTACCCATTGTTACATGAGCGGCAGATCCTGGATGTGTCGGAGCTGGGTCCACGTTGGCCGTCGAGGCAGTTTGTATGCGTGCGTGTGTGTCTGTATGTACTTTTGTACGTACCTTACCAGGGTGCTAACTCATGAAATGCAGACGTACAGGTTAGGGGCAGGGGGTGCCATGCAGGCCTGTATCTAAACCGTGAAGCCACAATTGCGATATGCAAGACGATCCGGCCGGCTAAGGTAAGGTATGGGATGGCATTCTGTGTACTTACCTCGAGTGACCGTTTTCCCATGCCATGTGTAGCCTGCTTGTCTACTCGGAGCTACTCCTCGTCTTCTCCTGTCAGCATCTTATTATAATAGACATCACCACCCCGTCCTTCTCCCCAGGAGTTTAGACCTCCTTTCACTTTGCCTCCTCCTTCCAGACTCTCAGACCAAGTCCAGTGTCACCAGTGACGGATAGAAACCAGTCTTGCAAACACTTAGATCCAGCTTGTCCATTCCCAGCCAGCACCATGGAAGATATCAATCATCTCCTCGACCTCCCCTCGCCGTCCAATTCGTACCAATATGTGTATGGCGATGCCGAGCAGTATCTTGACACAAACACGTCTGAGCCCCAGAGCTCTGTGAACTCTCCTGTACGGCATCCCACCACGGTGGTCAGCGAGCTTGGGACTTGCGCAGCTAACATACCGGGTAGTACGACTTGTCATACGCCGGCGAATTCCCTGGCTCCAATTCTTATCCCAGCCCGGATAGAGACAGTGGTAGCCAATCGCCGCAGCCGGCCGAAACACAAGCAAAGGCGCCAGCAAAGAGGAAGCGGGAGAACCGGTACAAGAACGCGCCGCCTTCGGTCCTTTCGGTATGTACTATGATGAATCCGCTAAGACTCCACCCCGCCCTACCAATCTACCCACAGTAGCTTCTGCTGCAAGTCCAAAATAGAACCAGCTAGGTAGCTAACATGCAGCGCTACAGCGTCGCCGGGCACAAAACCGCGCTTCACAACGGGCATACCGAGAGCGCAAAGACCAGAGGATCAAAGATCTTGAACAGATGCTCAACGATGCCAAGTCTCGCAACGACGTGCTGAGCCAAGCCTACACGGAGCTGCACGCCGAATACGTTAAGTTGAAGACGTCACAGCTCAGCGAGCCTCAATATCCCGCAGAGATCCAATTCGACCCGACCATTGGCTTGACCAACAACGACAGATTAGACATGGACATGTATGTCTACTCAGACATGAATAGCTACTCCCTATGAATCCATCACGGCATCAGTGGCGGACGGCAAATTTCCAACTAATCTAATCTGGGCGGCTGGCGTGCTATTTGATTGTTACCGCCTTGCGAAGTAAAATAAAAACCCGCAAGAGCAAATGAACCAGTCAGTGGGCAGGCGGGTATTGGGATAGAAAATTGGGAAGGCAAAGCAATGCGCTACAATGTTCCTTCTTGGCTGGGGTTGCCGACGGGAAAGAGGGGCCGAGGCGTTTCTGGCAATGCTTTTTCTTTCTGTCTCTTCTTTCCGAAACCTCTTGGCTCTTCACGAGCCAGGCTAGGTAACCCATTGGCCTGAGAGCCAATGCAATGGATGGTCAATGACGATGATACTGAAAGTACGACGCGGCGGTAAGTTGCTGGGAGTTACAGCAGCCACGCAATTCAATAGGACAGACTAGGATGGCATAGCCTATCACTAGACTTGAACCTAGACAATGTTTTGAAAATAAAATTTGAAGTTCTAACAATGACTTGAGATGACCTATACCTTGTGATGCAGCCCTGGAGGTCTGGGTGCACGAGGGCCTCAACTGCCTGTTATCGCGCCCATGCCTACAATTGCCTACAATAGTTTTTACCAATGCTCCAGCGACGACCTATGAACAACTTCGCACCCATCTTTGCATCTCACCTATTTTGATCAATTCAATGGATTACTGTAATACGAAGCAAAGATAGACCCCACAGGATTCAACCCCCTCCCTGACTTAGCCTCGACAAAAGTACCTGGCCGGGTCCTCGTCTTACTGATACACAGTTGCTAGTTGAATATGTTACACAAACATTCCGGACGGCCTGCTCATCAATCGGCAAGGCGAGACGGTCACAGACAAGGAGCCGGGGCTTTCGATATGTTGATGCGTCTATGTGGTCCGCAGAGCGCAACGGCGTCGTCGCCGAAGCCCGCCGAGATCATCCACCGGGGCCATTGCAATGCTACCGATCCTAGGAGGCCTTGGTGTCAATGATCAGCATACAGCGCCGAACAATGGAACGGAAGCGGCACCGAAGAGATCCGCAATTACTTCGCCTATCTTGACTAGGCAGTCTAAGGGCCAACGGAGCCTCTGTCTCGACTTGTACGGTTGCATGGTCCATCGCTGACACAATCCAACAGATGAGGAAAGCAAATCGAGAATGCATCGGTTTACTGCCCGAATGGGGAGGAGCCCGGATCGGCGACCTGCCATGCAGCAAAGACACGATCCGACACCACAGGCAACGATATTGTCGACCAGATGTCTGGAGTACAGTAGTCGGAAACGAATTCCCCAGCAGCGCTACTTGCACTTACACTGGCTGGTCTTGGTGCATGTCGATGACTGAGGGCAAAAAGTTTATCGCTGAGCACAGACACTCCGCCATTCCCCGGTAATCATTTGCGATCTCACTACTGTTGGCTCACTCACAGACCAAATGCAAGATCAGTCGGCGTGCTCACTGATGAGTTGGGCATCCTCGTAGGTCCAGTCCATAGGCATCTTTAGCATTAAACTTACGACTTACAAACGGGCATGCTAATCTAGAAGGGGCTCTCGGCTTTCGTCCAGCAATACGCTCGGGCTTGCAGAGATGCTCCGGCATGTTGTGTCTACGGCATTCGGCGTTGACAAACTGCAGGGTCCTAGATGACGTCTGCTCTCTGAAAAGCACCACCAACAGGGGAAAACTGGTTCCTAACCTCCCCGCCGACCGACACCGGGTCTGAAATGCCAGCGCCGTACTGTACTTATGCAGGTGTGCACGGTACTTCTTGTCAGAACGTCTTCTAGAAGGCTTTCAAGGCTTCTAGTGCCAATCCCGAGATATCCGAGTGACACAAAGTTGATCATGACCACCGACCACCCTTGGCAGCGAATGCACGACAGGCCAACCGGGCATAGGGAATAACGGCTTTCTGCACGTTGCTGATAGCTCATACGTCTCTCATGGGGCCCTTGTTTCGGCTTAATTCGTCCTTGCGTTGCTGGGATCTCGACGATATCGGCCGCGTGCGAAAACGGTGTCTTTCACGGAATAGACAATTCTGCTTGATGACGTTTTCGCGAACAGGGTAAGTGACGGTTTGAGATCAGTCGAGATTCTCTCAGGCTCGCAATGTACGCCGTGGTTGACGTCTATGAACTCTTTGCTGCAATTCTCAGCATCTCATTATTGGCCGTTGAGGCGCGCACGTTTGACAACTCGCAATATTCTAGATTTGAGCAGAAAAGATGACTTGTCACTTCATGCAGCTAGGTCTTAAATCCGCGAAATTCATCATAATAATACTATTATTCTGACAGTTCGAGACTCTGTTTTGGACTTTCCTCGAAGTTTCGTTGAAATATTCTGCCAATAGCTGGCGTCTCAAGAGCCTGGTAGTAGTAGCTTGGTGTCGAAGCGATACAAAGACTTCTAGCCACAGCTTCCTCTTTGACTTTGCTCACATTATTTTTGCTTCGGAGTTTATGCTTCCAATCTCTGGACCTTATTGTATGCTCTCACTTCTCTGGTTATGGATGTTCTTGTTTCTTAGAATATAAGCATCCAAACGAGCCCTCGATCTAAAATTGGAAAGTTCTTCGTCTTCGCCGGCAATTGATGTTTATCAGTTTGGCCTGAAAAGGTCGTTAGCCCATTGGGGCTTCCTTGTCATTACCTCTTCTCGCTAAGCTGCGATTGAGACATGTAGTGTCGTTTGTGAAGGAGCCTGCGTTTTCGTCTGCGGGTGGTTTTAAGATCGAGCGATACAGCAGGATTCGGCCGCGTAAGGCAATCGCTGGGCACTCTATATGCATTTCTGACCGGAGATATCTCGTTCTGATGCTTTCATGTGAATCTTCTCGGCGGCTTTTTGTTGTTGTCAAGCAGCCTCAAACTCATTCCAACACTTCTGAGCCTAGTTGTTCGTTTTCAATGAGATGTCTTGTCATCTGTCTCCTCCTGTATTCGATACTGAGGCATCATTCGGCGCTCATTGTGGCGTTCATTCGTGCACTCCTTTCAATCCTCCCATGCCTTAAATCCCTATCTCTTTCTGTCATCCTTGAATTGATAGTTGTGGCATTGGTATTGCCATCTCCCGTGTTGCCGCGACGAATTATCTGGTCCGACACGTTATTACTTCGCAAAGGACTGTTGACAATGATCCCTTTAAGCACAGAAATCTGTGTGTCAATAGTGAGTGAATTGTTAAGTAGTTTAGAATGTCCTGTTTCAGCCACAATACCCCATCATTTCAAGCCCTTCTCTTCCGAATCTCAATGTTTTTTCCCTCCAGGATTCTCGAACAGATGTGAGGAAGATGGTTCATCATACTTACTTCTAAACAATACTCACCAAATAACTTGAGTGGTAGCAAGGTAGCCAGCAGAGACTGAGTAGAGACCTGTCCTCATTCTCATGTAATGTCCACATTTGTCATAGCAGCCAGGGAACGAGCCTTGACGAATGTTTGCTTGCTGAGTTGGGTGAAGAAGAACCAGAATCAAGAGATAGACAAGCGGTGACAACGTCGAAGCGTTTACTACTGCAAGCTAATGGATATTGCATCAAGGCTAGGCTTCCTTGATGCTGGTGTAGAAGTGTATGGAAGTCGGCAATCACTGATATGTACCTTATGTTCGGTGGATACTTTGGGTACAGAGTCTCGTAGCGGATCGACACTAACGTTGATCTCGTCGACGAGTGTGGGGACGAGGTCATCGGCCATCATACTTTATCTGACATTACGGCGAGTGACAGTCGTGATGCCCTCGTACTCAGCGCCATACGGCACTTTGTAGACGAGTTGCTTGTTTGCATCGTTTGTTCGTGATAGCTTATTTGACCCGCAGGGACCTCGGTTCCCTGATTGAGACCTACGCTCGGGGTCAAGTGCGGAGTTGAGTCGCCCACCTAGCCAGCTTGGTCTCCATACTGAACAGCTCGAATAGGGTTGGCGGTTTCGCAATGTGTTGCCAACTTTTCCCTGAAACCTTCAGAAATTGGGCTGTATTATACTTTATTGGGGGCCGGCGTCTTGTGTTCATTGCGCTATCAACCTCATCTTCATCCTTTAAGGTGTATGGCCGGCGAGGGCACCGAGGGCATCGGCGACGGAGGCCGAGTTGAGGAAGGTAGACACCGAAATATCCTCCGGTGGTTCAAGCTGCCATATGCCCACTCGAATTCTCGGTAAATATAACCCCATACTGCCTCTTGCCAGACTCTGCTGCTCCGACTGAACGTGTGGGTGACGACAAGATTTCATCTCCAACTGTTGGGGCGTAACGTCTTGTGGGAGGACTCGGGCGTCTCACTCACGAAGCTCCAAGCTGAGCTCAAGAGCTCACGCCGCTCTTTTGTATCTTGACAGCAAAAGCCGAAGATTCGCCGCCAAGGCCTGGCCCCTTGCGGATGGCGCCATGTGGGAGTTCCCGATGGTCGCGTTGTTCGAGGGTACTTACTCAGCCCCCCACGAGGGTTCCATCGACCATGAATGGTGTTCATCAGACTTTTTGCCCTTCATCGACAACTCAAGTGCCCGAAGACCTGGTTCTTTCGCTATCCATCAGGTTTCTGTTCGTCAAGAATACGTCTTGGCGTCCTGGACATCCAATGAAAGGCTCGATGGGCGATCACTTGCTCCGCCGCGAGGGCGAGAGCTGGCTTGATCATAGGCAGAGCAAACACCGTGCGGTTTCTGACTTCCCGATCAAATGTACTAGATAGGACCCTTTTTTCTGGTCGAAACTGTGTGAGTCGTCGCTATGATAGCATATCTTCTCACAGTGCGATATGGAACCTTGCGCACATGACGCATCGTGATCGAGATCGTGTGCATGGGACGAGCCGCTTGAACATTTCTCAATCGCTCTGGCCAAAATACGAAATCGTGATAGCCTCGCCGTTAACTCGTATCGTCGCCGGATTTAGCGAAACTTGCATCAAGATGAGAAAGAGGACTTCGGGATGTGGCGTCGTCGGGTCTGCTTTTAGTGACTAGAGCTCTCACCGGTCTCGCATTTGAAATGGTCCTAGACCTCTATTACTGAAAAATGATGTGTCATGATTCAGCGAAAAGCTCTCATTGAGCATTCTTGTACATGGTCTGTTCTGGCTTGGTCAATCGGAAGGCTATTTTCGTAGCCACCAAGACACGGCAATGAGTCCTCATTCTGTAAAGTTCAGCCCCAAAAATTTGCACGTAGAAGTCTGTTAGTAGTTGGAGACTAATCACACATTGCTTCCTCCTCGATAATCCGAAGCTTCTATAATTGCGACTTAAAATATGAGATAGAGCCAATTGATCGAGGAAAGAACGGAAGATCCTGTTGAACCTGGGCTGTATAACAGAACAATTCATGACGTATGTTTCAATTAGGAGCTTACACTACCTCGGCTAGGTCAAGGAGAAAACAACTCCGTTGGTTGCATCTCTGTTCCTACACTAGCAAATACCTACATGATGTGACCATTTGAATCACATGGGAATGAAAGGAGGTAGCTTGAAAACATAGAGCCGATTACTCAAGCAAAGAACTACCTTCTTGTGTGAGCATAATATGGAAGCGGGATAAGAGAGAAGTCAGGAGACGCCTTGCTCCGCCAACTTGATGGGAATGGGTGTTTCATTGTCTCACAACACGTAATCGACAGATGAGAGAATGCAGATGTGCTTTTTACACTCGAGATAATCTGCGCGACGCTTGCCGTTGCGGATATTGCCTGTTGTGTCACAGGGGCTGAAAGCCTCACAGCTTGCTGATATAGAAACTATTGGTGTTGGAAACAAGAACACCAACCAACGTTATCAACTATCTCACAGCCGTCGAGCAGATCTTCATCGAACCATCGAGTGCAGATCATGGAACATAGAGGAACTTCTCCTCACGGTCTTTGATGATTTAGAAGAAACACCACTTGGCAGATTAGAGCGCATTGGGGCTGGCGATCAAAACCACCCACACGCCGCTGAGAACGCCACAACATGGTTCTTGAGAACAGGGCATCCCTGGAACCATCGTCATTTTTCCTTCTGAAGTGCCCAAGTACCGAAACGCCTCGGTACAACAGTGCAGGGTCTGTCAAGGTATGTTGGCAATCGGGTTGTTCCTGTATCTCATGGGTTGACCGCAAGACATTCATTGGAACAATATCGCAAGCCGCGATACAAGATTTCACCATTCTCGGCCTTGGCTATTTTCAAAGCCCCATGAGCATTGGGTCCAGACAATGAGACATCGTGTGTTGACACGTAATGCCGTGTTATTCCAGAGCAAAGGTTTGCTTCGATCGTCTGTCTGGGGTGGAGAAGATGGTCTCAAAGAGGCAATAGGCACGAGACCGACGGCAGCTGAAGTGAAGTTCAGCGATCACTTCCTGTCAGATCCCCATCCCGAGGGCTAGAATTGCGATATGCCCGGCACTTAATGATAGCTCGCTTGTCTAAAAGAGCGGGACGCGTGGTCGTTGTGAAGCGCTATCAAATCCGACGGCGCGGGCCTCTAGATGAGACTATTGCCTGCGCTACGCACAATTTGATAGCCATCTTCAAACGCAACTATTGCGACCAAAGGCATTACATGGGTAGGTTTTTCGGGTCTGAGGACGGCTGAGAGTAATCACTCAACTTTTCGGGCTCACTTTTCTTATTTTGTTTCACGAAAGTGAGAAGTCAATTATTTGATTGTGGGCAGTGTCTATGAGGTAGTCAAGACCACACTGCCGGGTTGAATTAAGGTTCTCTCCCTTTTTGTTCCTGTTCCAGTTTCTGGGCTGCCAAGGCCGCCCACGTTTCCCACAATTCCCCTTTCGGTGCGGATCTTGTCAATCACAGGCAATCCCGGTAGAGAGATGCGCCGGCGTCATCAACTTAGACCTAGAATTGGTCAGGACCCCTGACCAAAAAAAGAGGGTATCTCTGGAGCAATCTGGAAAATTGGTAGATGGTCCAGATCGCGGATCTGCGTATCTTGTTGTTCCTTTGACTACGAGCCCAGAACTGTCGGGTTGCTCTGGGCATCAGTCAAATCGCCTTCTGGGATTTCGTGTCGGCAACCGTCTCTTACTTGCTTACATCCAAGGCATCTACCGCGGATATGATGTGTTGCCTTTGAGAAACAGGCTTAGGCGCCAGTTGGAAATTGCTGCGCTATATTCCTCAGGATACGAGATGGACAAAGGAACAGCAGCAGCAACAACAAGCCGTGCTGTGCCGCATGATTGCGCTGCGGATGCAGAAATGACAAATTGCGGAGGTGTGAAGAGAGAGTGTTTCTGTGATGTGGTGCCTGACTTGTTCTGCAGCTATAGGGCTGGTGTCTCTGCAAGGTACAGCGAGAGCGACTAACGCAGGCACATTTGAGAATCCTAATGCGACCCATCGTGTGGGAATACCAATCACGATGGTGTTGAGTCCGGCCAGCTTTACCGCATCAAGACCTTGCACTCACTTTCCTACCAGGGAAAATCGTTAGTTCAGAGTTGGTGTCCGAGACCACACCCCGGCAGGCGTTCCAGGCCCGGAACCACAACGCTTTGTGGTGTTGCCGCTCTCTTCACCAATCATGGCCAGGCATTGTCAACGTCCAATTTAAAGCTCCCCTTTTCCAACACTGGAAATATACCACCCCATGCACGCTGGATGTGCCGACAGCCAGCACGAGCGTCCTCTTCAGGCAAAGTCCCTTCCCACCATCAGTCCATCTTGTCATTATCGCCCGAACTTGCGATGGGGCTCGATCCAATGGTTTGCCAAGCTCTCAGCCTCTGGGCGGATGTCGACCCGGCTTCTCGCCTTCAGCGCTATGGGGTATTATGGGACACCATTATGGGAAGAATAGAGTAGGATGCCCACGTCAACCAGGCTAGGCGTCGCCGTATACATCGTGAGGACCCCGGCGCCGCGGCGAAGTCCTCCAAGCGAGCGGGCACGTAAAAGCATGGCCATCGCCGCCTTCACACCCAGGTAGGAGTCCTTTTTGACTGTTCTCCGCTGCCCCTATCGTCAAGTCCGCAGTTGCTGGCGCTCTCCAGTGAGCATCTATTGTGCTCGTCCTATTGACGTATCAAACGTCGTGTCATTCGTTATAACCCCCCTAATCCCCCTAATAGCCATCAACATGGCTCCCTCATTCGTTAAGCTGGCAGCTGTGGCTCTCACGTACTCTGCTGCCGCTCAGGCTGTGAAGACGTATCAAGTGTACGACTCGTATGATTATACAAACTTCTTTGACAAGTTCAACTTTTACGTCTCTGACTACGATACGGACGACTATTACAATGTTGATCCCACCCACGGATTTGTCAACTATAGGAGTCGGTCGGATGCCGAGAGGCTTGGGCTCATCGCAACTCAGGGTACAGAGATGTATCTCGGAGTTAACCATGCCGATGCTTTCCCTTACCCCGGAAAAGGTCGTGATAGTGTTCGGATAGAGAGTAAGGCAGTTTACACCAAGGGTCTTATTGTTGCTTCCTTCAGCCATCTTCCCGAACAGTCTTGTGGAACATGGCCCGCGTTGTAAGTGAATGAATTTGCTTAACTGATATCGATCGACTAACCATTTTCTAGCTGGATGTTCGGCGACCCGTGGTTGAAGTCTGGTGAAATTGATCTCTACGAGGGATACAATCTCGCCAATCGCAATGAATTCGCGATGCATGTTAACGAGACCATCGCTGGTTCTTGCCAACTGACACAACTCGGAACTGCGGGTATCGTTGACACATACGATTGCAACAACGATCTATACAACCCACCCTACCAGTACGTAGGCACAGGCTGCACCGCCGAGGAGACTTCAGGAACCTGGGCCTCTGCGTCCGGTGCAACATATGCCATGGAGTGGACCGACGACTATATCAAGATCTGGTCTTGGCTGCCGGATTTCGTGCCACAAGACCTCAAAGACCGCAAGCCCGACCCGAACACTCTTACCTGGGGCTTGCCACAGGCCATGGTCGAGAAGTCGAACTGTGACCTTGACAAGGCTTTTTTCAACCAGAAACTGGTGATGAACTTGGACTTCTGTGGTGATACCGCCGGCAACGAGTATCTGTGGGCGGAGTCCTGCCAGGCCGCTACCCGTACTGCTAACTGCACGGCTTACGTTGGCGCCAATCCCGATGCTTTTAACAACTATTTCTTCAAGGTCCAAAACATTACCGTTTATACAAAGCAGGACCAGGCTTCGTCGACGTCTTCAGTTATTTCAAGCACGTCCAGCAGCTCTTCATCATCCAGCAGTCTATCAACATCGAGCTCGCTAACATCTAGCTCTGTATCCACCACGAGCTCATCATCCAGCAGCTCATCGACATCGTCAGTGGTCTCAAGCACATCTTCCAGTATCTTCTCATCATCTAGCTCACTACCGGCTTCCACTTCGTCATCTAGCTCCACTTCGTCTACTAGCTCATTTGACCCCTCGACGACCAGTTCTCTATCATCTTCGAGCAGTGTCTCCACATCTTCCGAGGTGTCTTCAACGTCGACGACTGAGTCTAGCTCTTCGGCAATCTCTTCATCAAGCTCTGCATCAAGCTCTGCATCAAGCTCTGCATCAAGCTCTTCATCAAGCGCTGAAGTTTCGAGTACATCATCATCCGAGTCGGTTTCAAGCACCAGCCAAATTGTCACTTCCTCGTCATCTACCGAGCTGGTGACGAGCTCGACCGAGTCTATCAGCTCCCTGTCAACCCAGAGCTCGTCAACTGACACCGATGACTGTGATGAGCCTACTGGATCCGTCACTAGCAGCTACTCTCAGACAACCGTCTCTGTAACACAAATATCGGCATCATCGACTGAAACCGACGACTGCGATGAGCCTACTGGATCCGTCACTAGCAGCTACTCTCAGACAACCGTCTCTGTAACACAAATATCGGCATCATCGACCGAAACCGACGACTGCGATGAGCCTACTGGATCCAGCACGACAGACTTTGTTTCCAGCACTGCTACAAGTGCTAGTGTCACCGAAACATCTTCCTCATCCACGGAGACTGATGACTGCGATGAGCCCACTGGAACTAGCTCAACCGAGGCTATCTCTAGTACCAGCACTGAGACCATTACTAGTGCCACGGAAACGCCATCATCTAGTGCAACTGAGGTATCATCCACCAGTGCCACTGAGACGTCGTCGTCTAGTGCCACTCAAGCGTCATCTGCTTCTTATACGGAAACCTCGACTGCCGGAGAGAGCTCTTCAAGCCTTGCCGTCTCTTCAGCAACCGAGATTTCTAGCAGTGCAAGCTCAACGCCCATTTCCGTAACAGAGTCGACAAGCGCTACCGAGTGGACCACCAGCACAGTCTACTCTACTCGGACGTATACGATTACTTCATGCGCCCCAACAGTCACCAACTGCCCTGGCAAAGGCCACGTTACGACCGAGATCATCGCCATCTCCACCACCGTCTGCCCAGTCACCGAGACTGAGAAGCCGGGTTCCAAGCCTACTTCCACACAGTCGGTGCCGGAGTCACTGCCGGGGTACGTGACATCTACGATTCTCGTTACGACTACATACACGATCACGTCTTGCAAGCCGACCGTTACCAACTGCCCGGTTGGAAAGGTGACTTCCGAGGTTCTGACAACCACGACGGTCTGCCCCGCCAGTGAGCTAGCCACCGAATCATTCACCACCAAGACGAAGACGATTCAGGCTACTCTGACTGTGACCAAGCCCAAGTCATCATCTCTGAGCCCCGAGGTCCCGTCCTCGAGCGTGGAGGTCATCTACTACACCGCCACTGTGGTGCCGAAGCCCAGCGGTAGTTCAGTCGCATCCGCCGTCAGCAGCGCCGAATCTTACTCTTCACCCGCCCAAAGGACCGCTACCTCCGGTGTCGCCTCGGCGTCTGCAGCGCCCACTACGGGCTGCAGCGGTGCAGAGTGCATTCCGGTTACGGCTGGTGCCAATGTGAAGGGCGCAAGCCTAGGCCTCATGGTTGTGGCGGTTCTCTTTGTCTTTGCTCTGTAAAAAGGGGGGTTTTTGGTCAAACTAGGTATATATCTGGTGTTTTTGTAGATGGTTCCTTGGAAGGGTATTCCTTAGCGGACGGTCGGCCGTTGCTTAAGGTACATTGTATTTTTGATGACAAATATCTAATTCTCAATATCCGACAAGTTTTTGTCTGACTTGCATTTTTCACATAGCGAAACGGGGACGATGGCTTGGTGTAATTTCAATGTCAATCGCACAAGCGCAGCATGTTGATGTGATCATATGCACATATATCGCGACTTGAATGATTTGAGTAGTGCCTTGCCCTTTCAAGTTCGTGTTGTAGCAATCAATCAGCGAGCAAGGGTGGAGATACAAAACATGACACAAGGAGAGCGCCCGAGCTGCCTCAGGTTCTCACATCGAAATGGCGTCAAGTCACAGTCAGCCAATCGGAAAGGATGTGACTCTTGATTCGACGTTTTTTTCTCTGATAAAACTGCTTCGTAGCGGTTGCGCGAGGTGAGACCTGATAGAGGGAAGTGAAACCGAAGGGGTGCACGTGATCTTGAAGTTCTCTGCTCACCGAGCGCGCTGCTGCCTGAATGTCCAAATGGTGCGCAAAGAAGCGACCGACGACGGGACAGCGGCCACTGATTGGCCAAGATTTTGCTGGACACCGAGAATGAGTAGAGTGAGGCGAACAACCGAGACGCCTGGTTGCCTTCTTTTTGGCGGCATTTCCCAACACGCGAACTGTCATCAGAACGCAGCACTCCCATTCCATTATCTGATTCTCGTTCATCTCTTCTAGCTGTAATCGGCTCTGTGTCTATTGAATCTTTTCTCAAACGGCCTCGTCACTATGCGCTCTTGAATCGCCGTCTCCTCCTATACTGGACCCACTAGAGGCCCGCTCGAGGATCGCCGATATAACATATCAATCGTGAATGGAGGCCATCAAGTCCGCGGGGTGATGCGCCGAAACGTGGTCCTGCATTGAAGCCGTCTATTATTATCTATAAACTATACTGTGCCTTGCTGCAAGCAACACTTGAGATTCCCACCTCTTGTTTGCCTGCTCAGTACTGCGGCTCGACGCGGACGAATTCTGCCTTGGCGACCCTGGACGCCTTACCACCACTTCTCTCACCCTACCCGTCTTCTGTCTTCCCACCTTTGCTTGTCAGTCTCCCAAGCTTCGCATTCTGTCTCTTTCTGTACATCAGAGCCGTCTTACTGCCCACATTTGATCCTCGGGCAACCTGCAGGCTGCACTTGGACGAATTATCGCAGTGTGGCTTAAGCATGCTAGTCATATACTAACAGTTTCAAGGCTGTCATCACTTGATCTCAGTGTCTAGAGATAGCCTCATGTATTGATTTTGTTAGTGGCAACGTTCTCGTCACATCTTTGCCAGCCTGATTAACAGTTCCAGGTGTCATAATGGACCAGAATCAGTTGTATGCTCCTCAGGAGCACCGTCAGGTGCATGTATGTGGAGTAATCTTCTACTATCCTGTCATCTTGTCTCAAACAAGACCTTCGTTCTGATGCTCCGCTCCGTCTTAGCCATTCAATACAGGGAATCACCGCCTGGGCGCGTCTCCCCGAACCTCTGACTCCTCGCATATGGAAGAGCGCCCTCGACCTGTGGAATCGAATTTGAGCAGTACCGGTAGTATGGCTCCAATGACAGCTACCGGCACAGAAAACCTCGATTCATATGGTGATTTCCAATCCATGGGTGCTCCTTCGCTTCCTTCTACCGCGAACGTGAATGGTGTCCGTAACGCTGGGACACCTTTCGCTCTGCTGGACTGGTATCAAGGGGACGGTCCATGGGATCCCCTTGTAGGAAAGAATACCCCCCCTTCTAGGCAGGACGATCCACGAGGTAGGGGACACATGAGTGCGCCTTTGAAAAACAACGGACCTGCCTTCCAAGGTTATCGTGTTGCGAACACTGTTCCCTCAGAGTGTGATACGCTGCACACGGGAGTGTTACCGTCAGACTCGGGATACGGAAGTGGGCCACGCCCGAGTATTGGCAACCCGTCGGTCTACGATGAACTCGACCATAACACGGAAACCCAAAGTCTTATTGAACCACTAATGGATTTCAATCTGGCCAATCATCCTTACATTCAACCAACCAACTCGCAGAACGGGACATCTTCCATGGACCAGGACAATAACAACCTCATATGTGCATTTTGTGATCAAAGAGTCAAGACGAAGTCTGAACTTAAGTGAGTTGCCACGATCGGCTATAGTTTGAAGTATACTAAAAGTTTTCCAGTAAGCACAGGCAGCGACATACCAAACCATTCCACTGTAGTTTTCCTGGGTGTAATCGCACTGGCGGTTTCAGTACCAAAAATGACCTTGATCGCCACACTAGGAGTAGGCACCCACGCGAAACAGCCATTGGGAACCGCTACATTTGTAGAAATGGGCCGTGCAAGAACAAAGAGAAGATTTGGCCTCGTGCAGACAATTTCAGACAACATCTGAAGAGGGTTCACAAGCAGGAGGTATCCGCCGATGACGATCTTGATACCTATCTCTACCGGTAAGACTACTAGAGTTGTGTTCAATCTGCAAATCTAACCTTTGTTCCTTATGGATAGGGACCAGTCCTCCATTTGTGCCACTGATCTAGTGGGTATGGGCTCATCTGTCGCGAATTTCACCCTGGGACCAACCTCAGAACCTCATACCATCTCTACACCTGGGTACCTTCTGGAAAGACCTGGTTTAAGTCCTCATCTGAGGGGGTATGACGGTTCATACGGTAATGAATTCGTCGAAAACTCCTTGGACTATCAGCCAGCCTCTGGTTTGGGTAATGGATCGCAATATCCAATGTTGACGTCATCCACAACGGATGATATGCACCATCAGTCAATAGGGGCCATGTCTCATCTCGATTTTGGGCTTGATGATTCTGACGACCAGGCAGACTCGCCTCAAGAACATTGCATCGATGGGCCAGGGCCTCGTGACACACGCTATATCCAACCCGATATTTTGAAGCAAGATTCAGCCTCTACCGGAAAACAACCTCAAGAACACATCCAATTCAAGAATCGTGATTCTCGGGCACTTTCAAAGGCCGATAGCAAAGCTATATTCGATGCCACCGGTGGAGCTAGTGAACCAGAGGCTCGATCTGAGCCGATCATAGTTGGAGGCGCTTCTTGTGATGATGCTATTGCAGTCGATGATGAAGATGCTCCTGCGGATGAACTTTCTCCCAGAAGCACCCCGTCAGGCTCTGCTTTCAAGGATGAGTCCTCAGATCAGAAAGATGAGGCCTCATCGCAGGTCAAGTCTGCATCCATGGGTCCAAGCGAGTCTATGGATCTGGATGATGAGAATAAAGCCGCTGCACTTCTCAAGGATCTCCAAAAGAAGGGCGTCTTGGCAAAGCTTATGGAAGAGCTTGGTTATCAGAGAGCCACCAAGACTACGGCAACAAAGCCAAAGAGGGCTGCCTCGTCTTCACATACGACACAGGAGACAAGCAGTGTCACATGCGATTCTCCAGGTTGCAACAAGTCATTTGTTCGACGCTGTGAGCTCAAGTAGGTCACTCCTAGTCCTATTCAATGTACGCTTTTCTAATCATGAGTACAGAAAGCATATGAAACGCCATGAGAAGCCTTATGGATGCACCTATTTCAATTGTACCAAGAAATTTGGAAGCAAAAACGATTGGAAGCGCCATGAAAACAGTCAACACTTCCAACTTGAGGTCTGGAAATGTAATGAAAAGTTGAAGGATTCCCCGGATAGTATTTGTGGGAAAGCTTGCCATCGTCGTGAGACCTTCAAGTATCATCTCCAGAAGGACCATGAAATTCAGGACCCAAAGGCAATCGAGCAAAAGTGGGAAGACTGCAGAGTGGGCCGCAATTGCGAGACTAGATTCTGGTGCGGCTTCTGCAAGAAGATTGTTGAGATTAAGGAGAAAGGTCTTGAAGCCTGGACTGAGAGATTTAACCACATTGACGACCATTTCTCAGGACGAGTTGGCGAGAAAATGATGATTGATCAATGGAAGTCTGTGGATCCAGACCTGCCGGAGATGGTTTTCTCTCCGAGATCTGATGATGGGAGCGAGGAGTCATCACCCAAACCAGCAACGCCCCCGACTGCCCACCCTCCACCAGCTGACGCGAATGAGAAGTTACGGACTTCGAAGAAAAGAAAGGCAGCAGCCGAAGATATTGGCCCATCTAAACGACCAGCTCATGACACGTTCGTCTGGTTTTGCGTAAGCCTCAAGCCACTGATAGATTCACAAGTTCATGCTAATTATAAACCAGTGCAAATGTCGAAACCAGGTAGGGTACCTTGCGCTCGCGGCCGCTTGTATGGAACCCGACTGTAATGGGCATCAACGATGTAATGATTGTGCACTTGAACGAACAATCTAGAACGCCATTTCATGAGTCAACGATTTACATGAAGGATATATCATGACGTTTAACGGGCTCGGTTTATTGGATGGGTATATCAGGCTATCTTTGAAAGCAGCCAAACAGCTGCATGGCGTTCAGCAGCGCTTAATAGTCTTGTCAAATACAGCTCCTGAACGACTTGGCATTTGTATTATGCTATGATCTATCGCTCTGAAGTCACGCATGTCTCAGATCGCTTCCTATAGAAGAAGTGTCGTTACAGAATTGCAGACCTGACGCGCGCTACATCCTGCGAAGTTCAGCAATGCCACGGCTGGTTCGCGATATCAAGTCCTCATTGAAAGAGGCGCATACGAAGCCGGTGTCTATAAGCGAGGGCGCGTAGTCGATGGCCGTGAGGGTTCAGTGGCGGGGCCTATTGATACAGAATCCTCTGACCCGTACCATGGCCTCCGGCTTGAGACGGGTATGTCCACTTGTCTTGCATGCCACGAACGCCATTGAATAGGATACCATGACAGCAGAGCAAGGAAGCACACAGATGTGTTACCCACCCATATGTATGAGTCGCGTATCGAGTTCGAGATATGTGGGCAGGTGGCTGACAGGAGGCCCCCCTCTCCTATCCAGCAGCCAGCAGTAGAGGATCGCCAGCGCTCCTGAGCCATGACGCGAGAGGGCCGTCCCGTCTCCTCGACGCTTGTGTGTGACTTGAAGTCAAAAGAAGGCAACCGCCTAGCAGGCCGCCTTACTAGGCAGCGCTACTCAGTTTCAACGAGCAGCCAACCACAAAACCTGCCGTGAGACAATCGGTCGTTAGTTGGGCCTCCGGATTTGGGGAGACCGCCTCCTTCCAGATGGTTTGCGATTTTCGGATTGCCGAAATTCCATTGGCGGGCAACCGACACCCTTTCGTGCGCAGGGGAATCCCAACATCTGGGGAGTCTTGCGATATTCTACGAGCACAATATTTGCAAGCGAAAGAAGTACTGTACATCGAGACCCTGTCCTTGACACACTGTCTCCCTATCTCTTTAGACTACTCGCAGTAGTCCTCGCAAAAAGCAAACCGACGTGTCAGCTCCAATTTGTGACCCTCCCCGCATTTGTAAATCGATTCCGATTCCTGCTCGGTGGCCCTCGTGTCCTGAGCGCCCATGCCGCCACTCGGCAGGGTCCCCAATTCCTCACCGGGACGCCGAGTAGCCCATTTCTGCGGATGGACGGCACTCTTTTGGGGGACCTCGATGACGATCGACGCCCGTCCTGCAACCCTGCGATCTTCCTGGGAAACTGGGACTCTGGGAGGCAGAATAGGCGCTGCCTCCTGCATTATATTTTTGTCCAGCTGAACGATCGATTGGGAAGCAATCCCCGAACTGGCGGACAGCCACCTGCTTGCTTTGGGTCGCCTACAGTGTCACCGCAGGAGAATGGGAATTTCTGGGGGCCGGCGAGGGGCCACACACACCCAAGCACCAACACCCGCCCTGAGACCAACACCAGGGCATGATTCTTTTTTGGGGGCGGAACGGCTTGGAGGAGAGTGTCTGACCACGATCGACACTAAGAGGGGACAACAGAGTGCTGTGCAGTGCGCAGCAGCGTGCTGGGTACAACTCTGCGGCTTAAAAAGGCCCACTTGATCCCAATCCAGCAGCCGATAACAGGGTGTCTCTGCGTGTGTAGGGGTCGGTTGTACCGCCAGTAGTGTAGGTGCAACGCAATCTCCGTGTAAGTGGTTTGGGTCCGGGTCGTGGGCAGTGTGAAGATAGAGAGACCACGCTGCACTTCACTGCACTGACTAGCTCCAGCGAGTGTCTCTAGACTTCCAGACTTCCTTGTCTTGGGACAGACAATCTGGAGCGCAGACCTAGTAGTGGGTCTCCAGCAATTCCGTTTAGTGGCCTGATCAGCCCTCGGGGCCAGTCGATGAGGGGGAAGACTCACTCACAAGCCGGGCGACGCTTGCTGCAGGGGGGTGGGTGGTCCTGTAATTGGCCTCGAGTGCTACCAACGCACCACAGCACGATACAACACACACAACACATTACAACACACTTGGGAACTTGCTGCTGCAGCAGGAGCAGCGCAGAATGATGAGCCTCCCCCCGCCCAACTTGAGTCAGACTGCCCGCGGGAGACGGCTTAAGTGAGGTCGGTGGTAGAGCTACCTCTCGTCAACGGCGATACCAGCGACGGGTGCTCGTGTACTGTACAGACAGACATCGCTCTGCCTAATGCTCTGCCAGCGCCGCCTTAGCGGTCGCCTTCCTGCTGCCTTCTTTTGCTGCCCGATGAGGCTCTTTTTCTCTCCAAGCAGCGAACCAGATCGCGGTGACCATCATCGTCCGTCCGGCTGTGTCTTGCATCCCATCTTCTGGAACTGTTCGATGGCATCTGCGTGTGCGCCTGCATAACGCTATCTGCACAAAGCGGTTCCTCGAGAACCCGAGACAGCTTGAGCTGAGACATTCGACGCCCGAGCTCGTCAGTTACGTAGAACAAGCCGGGACCTAATCAATTACAAGAATTGACGGACTGCTGAATTCAAGATCCACCACATAGAGCCGCAAGCTTCTAGGTCAGCGCATCGGGAGCAAAGTTCTGACATCGTTGTTGCCCGCAAAATCACGCTAGGATTCGCTCTGCCGCCGCCGCCAATGTTATTTGCGGCAGAGAATGGCGGGCGGGGACGCACCCTGGGCCGCGAACCATTTCTTCAGCCAATGTGAGAGAATCGACAAGTCATCTTTTTGGCGAACATCCGCTGTAGTCCGCCAGGAGCAAGTACCGCTACTTCTTTCAGCCCTCGATGCGGGAGGGAGGCGCAGCTGCACCTCAGGACTTTGTCCACTTCTCCCAAGCCCACCCTAATCCTCGTGGGCAAGCCAGACCAGGGGCCAGGGGAAAGGTGCATGGGTAGTCGCGAATGGGGTTTAGTTGAGGAAAAAGCAATCAGAGATTGGCGCATCCTAGACGGGCAAAGCATTTACTAGCGAGATACAGCCACTGGGGACGCACCTGGCAGTTGTCAGGTCTGGTGTTAGTCTCCCACTGTAACAAGATGCGGCTCTGCGTGAGGGCCCCAGGTTGAGTGGTGCGAGCAGCGGAGGGCAGCCCCCAAGTCCTCCTCCTGTCCACCCTTTGGCCGGTCTCTTTGGCTGCAGTCCTGGCTACTTGCCTGTCTCCTTCTCCTTGATTGCCATCTGTGTCTCTTTAAGTCTGCCTGCTCCGCCACCATGCTCCCATGCTTTCGTTCTCTGCTACTCGCATGAAGCGCTTGTCCATATATCATCATACATCATTGTGCAAATGGTCAAGCTTATATATCTAGTGTATATGTCTGCCTAGATTGTGCATCCCCATCACATCCTTGAATGATACAGAATCTTACTGTATCGTTGTGGCACCGAGAGTTCTTTCTGTACACTCGCGTACACTTCCCCCCTAGACACAAGGCTGATCTCTCTGTGCCTTGAAGCCTTGTGCAGTTCTGCTAGTCCTAAACCCGGTCTACGGAGCTTTGTTCATCGGTACTCAAGCTCCCAAGGCTGCCTCCTGCTGAGGTTGTTACTTGAAGGCTCCTACAACAGCCACACCAAAACCACGTCTTCCCAATTTGTGCCAACAACAATGGCTTATTCAACATCATTCCTGTACGGAGCACCATACAATGCATACTCACAGGAGGATGCTTTCCAGGACTACACGTCGCAAAGACTCGACGAGGCACAGTTTGATGTGGCTATGAACAACATCGATCCCAGTTTGCATGGCGTGTCTCCCACTGTCCCTTTCGCATCTTCATGGAGTCCTATTATGATGCAACGGTTCCAAAAGGAATCTCAAAAGCTTGCCCTCTTCAATCCGATTCCCTCGATGCAAGCAATGGCTCATCAAAACATTGTGCGCCCCGTCCCGCCAGTCCCGCCTCCATCTCAGGGGCGTCACGGATCTCCGGTCTCGTCGCATGAGCCCTCGTCCTCGTGCAGTAGTGCCCAGAGTCCTCCGGGCAGCGAATTCTATACTGATAATGGTCCTTCTACTCCACCTGACATGGCAGTTCTTTCACCCTTCCAAACATCCCGGGTGGATCAATGGGATTCGTCCTCCCAGTACTTTCAACTTGCAGGAATGCGGGCATTCCCAAACGAGACCTGCGTGAGCATGGCGCAGATCAATCCTGCACAGGATCTTTACCACGAATTTGAACCCCAGAGTCCCATGAACCTGTCGCTCAACCGTAGCTCAACGTACGGGAGCCAGTCATCCAGTGCCTTCGAAGCGGATACCGTCAATGCGCCAACACCAATGGATTTTTCTATCAAGCGAGTGTCCAGTCCCGAGGACATGCACCCGGTGGTCAAGGACGAGATCCACATTGTTCTTCCAGTACCTTCGAACAAAGCGTCTAGAAGCGAATATCCGCCCATTGGCTCTGATGATGACGAAGACCCGGAGGAGGACCAGAATGCAATTATCCCAAAGGTCGAAGACGACGATGACGATGATTATGAACCAGCAAATAAGCGACACAGACGTACAAACTCTAATAACACCCGCCGTGGTCCAAAGACGAAGCGCGCTGCCGCGCCCAGGTCCATCGAGAAAGCTGCTCCCAAGAGGCAGAAGACCGGCGGTGCCTCCTCACCACCACCCAAGATCCTTCCTCCTTCACCTCCTGGGAGCAAGGGAAGTCTTCACTGCCGGGAGTGCTCTCTGACCTTCAAAGACCAGACGGGCTTTGATGGTCACGTCAAGAAGCAGCACACCCGCCCATTTGTCTGTGTTTTCAACTTCGCGGGCTGTGATTCTACGTTCGCCAGTAAGAATGAGTGGAAGCGCCACGTCAGCTCTCAGCACTTGCTTCTTCACTACTGGCTCTGTGACCAGGAATCATGTGCTCACACGAAGAATGGACCGCCGTCGCCATCTGTAGTCCCTCAGACGACAAGCAACAAGCGATCCCGCGGTCGTGCCCAGGAGGAGAGCATCAATGTAGCACCCCAGCTGCCCAATGGCGCCATCTTCAATCGCAAGGATCTGTACACTCAGCACTTGCGCCGAATGCACACCCCGCTGCACATCAAGAAGGCGGTCAAGGCCGGGAAGAAGTCTTCAGGCTCTGGAGCTCACCCGGACTGGGACGAACACATCCGCGTGCTGCAGCAGAGCGCCGTCCAGGAGCGCTGCCAGCTGCCCACGCATATGGCATGTCCTGCACCTGGTTGCAAGCAGGCCTTTAACGGCGCGGACGCCTGGGACCAGCGCATGGAGCATGTTGCTCGTCATTTGGAGAAGGCAGCTAACGGCCAAGAGCAATCCGTCGTGTTTGGCGGCCCGACAGATGCTACCCTGATGCAATGGTGCACGAACCCGTCCGTTGGTGTTGTCAAGAGAGCCGCCAACGGTAAGTGGGAGCTGAACAACCCGCTCAAGCCGGAAGGCGGCAAGGATCAGCGACAGACTGCTTCGACCAACTCTGATCCTCTGATAAAGAATGAGATCGTTGTTGAGAGTGGTGGCGAGGAGGATGCCGAGGGAGAGGATGAATGATTACGAGGAGAACGCTTCACACACTTGAAGCAATATGCTGGAATGCTTTGGAGTTTGGTCTAATCGTCGCTCGCTTGACGAGAAATATGGATACCCCCTTTTTAGTTTGGCTTTACACCCTTTTTTGAACAGAGTGAGCCAGTGGTCTACACAATTGCCCCTGAATTATCATTGAACACATCAGGACGCTGGGTCGAGGAATGTTGATCAAGGCTACTATTGCTAAATACGTTTTATGTTCCCTTGCTTCCCTTTCTGTTATCTTATGGCGAATTTTAGAACACGGTTTCAGTATTGGTAGTCAGGAGATGATATCAGGAAACTGGAAAAAATGAAGGGGAAAGTTGTCGGACTCGATTCATGGTATAGACAGGCTGGACGAAAGGCTCACACGGCAGATGTTGATGACTATTAACGACCTTTTGTTTTCTACCATTGTATCCTAGCTATTTCATAAAATAATTTTCAACTGTTTCATGAGATACTGCAATTCAACACTTGAACACGCCTGAGGTATAGACTATCCGACACCTCTCTTTGACAACATAGAAGAATCACTGCTTTCTCTCTTCAGTCTGGTAACTGCTTCCAAATTTTCTCATAGATCGTCACTGCTATCTCGGACAAGTATTGATGTCCGACCTCCGTGACTGAGAACTGCTATCCATCGTCATCATAGTTATGATGTAGCTTGCAGCTTCAGCTCACTGCCATCATGCTGCACTGCGCCACAGCCTTCCCAGTCTTCGCATGCACGTCGTGCGACTTCGCACCACTCCACGGCCGCCTCCAAACTTCTCGAAGAGCAAGGCCCCCCTCCCCAAAACAATTACCACACATATGGCCAGCTCTGGGGGAGCCAAACACAAGCTGCTTTCTGCAGCAGGTTGAGCATCGGCCCAATCATAACGGATGCTGCATCTGCAACCAATCAAGCTCAGCAAGCGAGAATGACTCCGCCTCAAGAAATCAATCGACAACCCAGCCCGCTGGCTGCGTGTCACAACAACACGCGCCAGGAAAGGGAATCTTTTGAGAGGCAATCGGTCCCGAGATACCTACGCGGCTCAGACAAGACCGGAAGAGAGCTGTTCGGATGAGTGGCATGCATGCTGTGATACGCAAATAGGGGCGGCAGAGCCAGAGAAAGCATGCAGCAGCCGCAGCAGTCAGAACACTGCCAGGACGCTGAGCAGCTACCTGCTGAGCTTCCGGTCCTGTGTCTGGGGCAAGTTCCTCTTGCAGATCAACTCCTTTCCCCCATCCCCCACAGCATGGAGCAGCAGTGTGATTCCGAGGGCGCGGATACCCAAGGTAAACTGCCTCCACCATCTCCTTCTGCCGCCACAACGCACTCAGCCGCCGCCGGACTTGTAGGCGAGCAGGCTGCAACGGGTAGCGACGTCAGTCTCCTACCGGAAGTATCGACAGGGCAACAGCCAGAGCAGCAGCACGAGGAAGCAATCGCGACCTCCCGTGTTAAGGGTGGACTCAGCGGCCCAAGCCTCGATGTACCGATTTATGATGGGCCGCTGGAAGATCGAGCATTGAGTAGCGGTCGGCTGATGGGCGAGACTGTTATCGTCGTGCGAGCGCTCGATAATGGGGATGCTATCATAGGAAGGCCTTGGCTCCCACCAACCACACTACAGGCTATCCGGTCGACAGTGCCCGGGGCACGCTACGTGACCCCAGCAGAGAATGACAGAATGCCTTCTGGCATGGATATCCTTTTCCAGAGTTTCCCACGGAGAGAGCCTAAGCCTGAGGTTGTATCAGTCAATGCTCTGACTGAGGCGACTGATGATGAAGACCAAAAGAAAAACACCGACAGGACGGAGAGTAAGAGCGAGGGCAAGCAGAAAGCCAAAGAGACGGACGAGGCTGCTCCGCCCATAGACCAAGCCTCCTCTTCAACATCGACTTCGCCGGCGGAGAAACCACCGCCTGAGTTACGTGTCGCGTGGGAAAAGCACCCGGAGCGACCGCTCCAGAAACTCCCGATCAGGTTCCATGATGCCGTTGGCAGGAATTTCATATGGCCATGGAACAAGGCAAAGAAATGGAAGGTGAAGCAGCCCCTATTTAGGCCCCCGAGCAAGGCGTCGCACCACAGCCCCTTCAAATTTCACCGCCAGAGGCTGACATTCGTCAAAAGACCGCGAAGAGCTTGATCGAATCAGCGTTCATGCATGTTGATATTCTAGGGCCCCATGTCCTCGAGGGGCACTACGACCTCGTCATTCGTGGGGCCTTCGTCGATAATGACAGCGCAAGAGTCTCTCATAGACTAAGCAGTTTTCCTCTGCAGCCACCACAACAGCCTCCGCCGCCGCCTCCACCACCAGCTACCATTCCGGAAAAAGTTGAGCTCACCACTTCGATCACCACCGTGGCTGTGATAGCCCCAGAAGGCTACCATGCTGACAAGGATGATCCAACGCCTCCTACTACGGATGACCATCCTTCATCTTCCGCTAAGCAAGTGCTAGATGTTATGCCGTCAGGACCGCCACCGATGAAGGAGGCTAACACTGATCCGGTGGTACCTGACCTGCCTATAGATTCCCCGCCTATCCTTGGTAAGGTATCCGGCACAGGCGGTCGCGGGGCGCTCCTCTTACCTGAGCTTTGGGAGGATTTCATAGAACCGGGAATGGTCATTTCCATGCATATGTGGCCTAGTAAGCCCCCAAGACCCGCTTCCGTGTGGTTGGCCGATGTTATCGTCACATACAGCTGCAATTTCTCCCTTCTTGAGGGCACAAAACTGACTTATCTCACAGTGGTACCAAGTGAACTCCGGCCGCCACCGCCTTTCCGACCTCCAGTTGGCCCTGTAAATATTGTGGGAATGGGGCGAGGGCATCGGCCTGGCTATCGTCCTGGAGGACCACCTCCGATGATGCCTGGGATGCGACCCATGCCGCCTCCTCTGGTCATCACTCCCTCCAAGCCTCCCAAGGGCAAAACGAGGAAGCGACAGGATGGCCTATGAAGCTAACTGAAGAGGGGGATTCAATAGAGATGGTGATGTGTCTTGGAATAGAGCTGGGTACCGAGGCTAACGATGACATGACCATGATGGAGTTAAGAGACTTGAAAGCAAGGACTATGAGTATGTCTGGATCATTTATAGCGGCTTACTTTATTTTTTTTCGAACAAGTATACATGCCACATTCAAATACATCTTCTGTATCTCTCAGAGAGTGTGATGTCCGTTCCTTTAATAATTTATTGTTGTTGATCATCGAGATTGAATTTATTAGTGGAAAAAGGGGGTATTGGTATAGAGAGAGCTTTAGTAGCCAAGGAGGAAATGGGGGTTAGGGTTAGCATAATCGTCAAGACTTGAGTGGATCCGACTGGACACCTTGTCAACCAACATCCTCCATCCCTTCAATAACGAGAGCTGCCAGCTCTCACCTTTCCCTGAATTATAGATGCCTTAAACACGTTTCTCCTCGTGGCGTTATTTCTTTGCCATTGCTTCTTGTAATGCTTTAGAGTTTTAAGTCATAATGTCAAGCCTCCTCTCCCTGCTTGGCTGGACTTTCCTCCCAAATGTAGGCTTCGCCTCTACTTATCAAGCACCCTCACTCATACTGCCGAACAGGACGTGAAGCTAACGCAAACTCTACACAGCTCGTCACAGGCTGGGCGCAGACGATATACTATGGGATCTCGATCAGAGCGGGCGACCCACGCCCGCAGCCGGGCACCCCGCGATGGGCCGAGCACCGACGACGCATCCACATCTTGGTAGTGTCCCTCTACCTCCTCTACACGATCTATGAGGCGGACTGGGAGCTGCGTCGGGCAGGCGACTTCTACAGTGCATTGGGAGTCAGCCCCTCCGCGTCCGATCGCGACATCAAGACGCGCTTCCGCCGGCTGGCGGCCCTGCATCATCCAGACAAGACGACCATGAACGCCGCGAGTGCCGAGCAGGCAGCCCAGGACAATGCCTTCTTCTTGAAGCTCAAGACCGCCTCCGAGACGCTGCTCGATCCTGCGCGGCGTTTCGCATACGACCGCTTTGGCCCAGAGGTTGTTGGCTGGACGCACTGCACCACGATACGAGACTACGTCGCGAGAGGCGCACGAGTCAACATGCCCTACTACGGGGCCGTTGCGTTGTTGATGTACGGGCTGAGCTTGGTGGGGTACATGAGCTGGGGACAGTACGAGCGGTGGCTGGTGCTGGTAGTTGTGTTCGCCTTCGAACTACACGCCATGACTCGGCCGACTGGCCCGGCCCTCTTCGCGAGCTTTATCAACCCTTTCCTATCGCACTTCACGAGCCATCCGCCATACCTGCCCTTCCAGGCCATATCGATGGCACGCAAGGTCAGCGTTGCTCTGTCCATCGCCTTCTCTCAGATCGGGCCGATGCTGAGTGCCGACACGTCGCGCGGGCAGGTAAGCGTGCAGAGCGGTACGGACAGTGAGGCGCTCGTGAAGCAGGGTCTCGATCGCCTGGAGCTTACGGCACGCGGGCTGGATTCGGATGCCATGAGGTTGCTGGAGCTGGAGATGGCCCCCTTTGCTGGAGACCCGGCGCTCATGAACAGCATGAGGGGCAAGCTCAAGGAGTGGCTCGTGCAGAATACAATACGGAATGACCCGATGGTGCGAGATGCTGTGGGCAGGTCGTTCCAGAAGCGACGAGTTGACGCGCCAGCTGGAGCTCGAGGTAACAGATAGGACCTAATATCTCGCAAACGTATAGATACCCCAAAATAGCAGCAACTTCCAATGTGACAAACGAATAGACATCGCCTGATAATCACAATGTTTAATACGGTCTCACCTTGTAACGAGCACACAAATGCCCAGGAGTGTCCACCGCCGGAATTACCAAGCTCTCCTAGAAGTGAGTTCAATGGTTGAGCCCTTACTATCATGCACTTAGAATTGAGGAAGGCCGAGGATCAGGTCATAGTATCGGTCATTATAAAGTCTTAGAATCATAGCTCTCTACCCAGTCCACGCCAAGGCCATCAGGGGTATCATAAACGCATACAAGTTCTCTCTCCTCTCCCTCTCTCTAGAGCCATGTCTTGCTCGTGCTCAGCCGATTATACTTACTCGGCTTCTTCTCTTCCAAATCCATCGCACTGGCCAAAGAGTGTCTATACTTGCCTCGCCACGGCTTGTCTCTCGCCTCCTCAAAGTAGAAGTGATTGGACCCCGACGCATATGCAACTCGGTATGGCACGACGAGGTCACGTCTCTTCGGCCCACCGCCGCAACTGCCCCTGAGCTGATCGCTTGGCGGCGAGTTGACGGCAAGAGCAAAGAGGTTGGCCGGCTCGGTGAAATCAGTCACCAGGCCGGAGCGGATGATGAAATAGACCAGACAGAAGCAATTCATGGCAAAGACGAGGGACAGTACGATGTAGAAAATTGCCTGCCAGTCGTTGGTGTGCGAAGAGGTGTACTCTTGCGTAACCATGCTCGCATTGAAAGGTTCAAGGATACCGGGTGCTTCCAGCTGTGTCGACGGATAAGACCAGTAGTGTCGCAACGGAGTGTCAATCGATCCAGCAACAAGCATTGAGCTGATGAGCACAGAAAGAGCCTCGGCCATAGATGGTAGAAGGCTAGGAAGCTCCGCTGTCTGTAGGGCAAGCTGGGTGAGGATCCTAGCGTTTGACGCATTGTTGTTACTCACGCCGCCGTTTAAATCTATGGATAGTCTCCATTGATCGGCCATGTTCTTCCAATCGATAGATGTCTGGACTGTAGCATCATCGACAGACCTCATATACATGTCGCGGTCGTACGGATCCTCGCAATGCGCAGACATGTGCGCTCCCGTCGTCCCCGAAATGTTGAAGCGGGTCGAGCATTTCGGGGATGTCCACGAACGCAGCTCGCAGAGAGTGTAGTTTGCGATAAAGCGATTCTTCCCCAGGACGTATATCGCATCACTGTTGTAGACAGAGGTATTGGTAATGATATTAGAATCAATAGGATACTAATAATGTGCGTGAGTGACCGTACCCCCGAAGTACCAGCTTAGTTTACTTACAAGTTGAAATACTGGTGGTCTCCGTCCGTAGGCTTTGCCCCAACGGAAGACATCGTCCACTACAGTCTTGTTCAACCATTCCTCATCGGATGGCGCAGGGACATCACCCTGCCATGCGGCATTTCCGATGAGCTGTCCAGGGATGGTAGTATTTTCGTTCGTAGCATTCGGCCAAGTAGTGTAGATAAGGGGGGCAAGCTCGTCTTCGGCTAGGTTAACACACATTGTGTTCACTGCTGGCGAGACAACGCTGGCTCTGATAGCGTATTCGCCTACACCTCCAAGCTCAGTGGGCTGTATTATTTTGTTGACGTTATTGGTAGCGGCTGTATAAACACCTATCATGCGTCAGTCAAGGGTACGGATTGTGAGCTCGTTAAATGTTACCTGGATGTGGCATAGCTAGCGTGACATTGTTAATGATCCGACCGTACTTCTCGTAGCTCTTGGTGACATTGGAATTTCCGGTCTCGATCCAGGCTGCAGTCATGGTGACATTATCATATAGACTTGCAGTGCCTGGGGGTCTACCGGCCATGTCCTTGATCAAGCTTGTCCCATTAACGTTGATATCGTGCCATGTGGACCTGGTTCAAAATCAGCATCGGCGAAGGCATTTGAAGTTCAAAGCTGCAAAGCTCACATGAAGGCTAAGAGGTTGTGATAAGCTGAAAAGACTATTAGCACAAAGTCTGTCAGAGCCGGTAATCATGTAGACATACAGTTTCCAGAATATTGTACGTCGAGGCAGGCAGCCCCAGCCTCTTGATCGTTTATAGCCACAGTGGTTGAGGTGCTAATAGGAGTAGCACAGCTATCTCGTACGAAGTACGGGTTTGAATATGACGCTCGAACGTAGTTCTGGAGCTGCTTGTGCTCCCAGTCGCCGAATTTGAGCTTGGGGGCAACCATTGCATCAGACGCAGTAGTGTAGAACATGCCGACAACGGTAGCAGTCAGAGTGAGTGCTCCGAGGACAGTCAAAGCAGAATAATGAAGAGTCTCTCCATTGGTGATAAGCGAGCCTGGCTGCATGATCCAATTCCGCATGGTGGCCTCGGACAAGGTCATCCCTTTAGACTTGCGGCTGATTGCCCTTCGGGTGAGAACTTGCCCAATCAATGCAACGAACACTGTCACGAAAGACAATTCAATAGTCTTCGCGAGCAGAGCAGTCAGGAGCGATGCTGTAGATGGTGACAATGTGCCCGTTGAGGAGATTCTGCGGCCCCATCTGGGCTGCACGATTGAAGTAATCAACCAGACACCGCTGAGCACCGTTGAGTACACTGAAAGGGCAAGAATTGTCATCGATATCCAGCTCCATCTATGAAGGTGAACGTCTTGTCTTGAACTGCAAGGCTGGTAGTCTTGATCTGAGGGCAAAAGTCTTAGCACAGTGTCGAAACTTTGTGCAAGGGCTAAGGGGCCACCTACTGTATTGCTTGGATAAATCCTCTTCAATGTCTTCTTCATCACGAGTATGCTGAGAATCAGCGTTTTGGCGCATATTCTCATGGCTGCCGGATGCGTTCAGACGATCCAAGCCGATGCCACCATTTGAATGAGTGTTTCCGCTGTGACTGTCCTCTCGGAGTGGCTCGTACATTCCGGTCTCTCGGCCCCTCTCCCAGGCCTTCGATACCGAGTCCTTCAATTCATCTGGCACCGACCGAGGAGAAGCTGGTCCGCGCGTGACTCCGGAGAATTGAGGATCGTGGATTTGCTCTGGGGAGGCAACTGGGCTGGGAGTCCAAACGCCTGCACCATTTGGCTGAGGGCTTGAGAACAACGATGAGGCTCTTGAGCCGACGGGAACTCGCTGGATGGAGATGCGTTTCTGCGCGGAGTCCCTGATAGTCTCCGTGTTTGGGGAGCGTTTTATGAAAGGGTTGCCTTCCGACATTGCTATGTCCTGGCCAGTACCATCTGGCATCATTGTGAGGTACTTGGTAGACTCGAAGGGCTGGGTTTGAGAAAAGATAGCACTCCGTCTATTCGACAGTCAGCTCAATATTCCATCAGAACCACCTCGTGATGAAGAGCGTCACTGTTTATGTGCAGTGAAACAATGCCCTGTAAGCAACAAATGCATCTGAAGATGTGTGATAACAGAGGGGAGTGGTGTAGTGTGAAGACTGGACTGATGATTTTGAGAGGAGAGAAAGGTGCAAGGGCCACCAAAAGTGTAGCTTCTATAAGGAAGCTGTCACAGCTCTTATGAAGTCTTGGAAGAAGGATAAAGTGCTGAGAAGCTTTGGCAACTTGGAGGTTGGCAGATCGATTGCGAGAATCATGTCGATGTTGTGAGTTAACCATCGAATTTGATAATTGTTCACATACTTTGATCACCACAGGACAGGGTTAAAGGGCCTCACAACCTTAAATGATTCAACATGCAAAGAGACAAACAAGACGATTTGACGAACCTTCAAAATCTAGACGCCTACTGAGCGCCGAGATGCCCGAGCTGGGATCAAGCTGGGATCAAGCTGTGCCACAGCTTCATCAAATGTGTTGCCCCAGCTCTGTAAAAGCCCGCCGGGACGCTGCCGTCACTGGACACCGGTTGAATTAAAGAATTATGAAGCTTGAAAGAGATTATACAACGTGGAGAACCGGCAGGAAAGCTAAGGACGAAGTATTATTACAAATGACCATGTTGATCGCGGTCATCCCAACTCTGGGGGCTGACCAGGGGGGAGGAGCTGCTAGCATTATGAATGAAGACTTCCCATCATCAACCACCCAAGGCCTGACAAGGCTCCGGCTGCGATCTCCGTGCGTTGCGGCACGGGCTGCATTAGATCACATCCGTTGCGCAATGTTCTTGTGCACTATCGCCGGATGTGGGTTGTTTCTCACCAACAGCACAGCACAGCTCCATGCAGTGTGTTGGTGGTTGAATTTCGGACACTTTCCACAAAGAGAACAGCGCCAAGCTGGATGGCACACCGCCCCCAAGACCTGACGCGCGAACGACGAGGAACAGATGCGCAAATAGAGAAAACGACGGAGATGCGAAGTGAGGCTCTAGCGACTTCGCTAGACTGCTAGGGGACGATACCCGATGGCCAGGAATCGCGAGAGCACCAGACGAGGCTAGAGCAGGAATGCAGCACAGCCCTTGAGGAATATTGGGAAGGGGATGAATTGGGCACTATCCCCGCTTCTGAAAAGGGACTGATGGAGGTCAATACTGCATAGCAAATGGTGTGGACTCAGGCCAGACTAGGGAAGGTTTGGGGATAATTTTAGCCCTGGAGATGCATCCCTGGTCTTCTTGCGTCTCACTGCCACTGCCACCGATTGACCCACCATTGCATTCAACTTACATCGCAATTGGCGTGACTGACGCAGAATCATGTGTTCAGGTAATCAATTATGTGAGCAGAAAGTCTTGGTAGAGAATGATCCAAAGCATCTCAACGCAGACTCGCAATCACTAATCACGGAGGTGGTTGGTTTGGTGGAGGAATGCCTTGCCTAGGGCAGGGCTGCAGAGGAACATCCTTTGAGAGTATCCGTAATTTTATTATACCTAGCTTTTTCGCAGCATAACAGCAGAAGACTTGATGCCTTCATTCCGTGATAAGCCGTTTATACTCTGACATGATACAAGCCCGAATGCTTCCAGGTTTTCCATTCGTAAATATGCTATCGTGAGCGTCATTATGCCTCCTTATACCGTGCTCCTGCAACGCCAAGGCAAGGATAGCGCAGGATCGCAGTAAACAGTCAATCCTCTGGCCATCCGCGAACGATGTGAACTATACAAATTGATTCGCCTATTAGGGCTCAGCGACTCGGCGGAGGCTGAGATCTCAAGTATTCGTCGATCTTGGCCTTCAAAGCAGGTATCAAGATGTTCTCCGCATCAGCAAATTCTTTGCGCTCTGCCTCGCTCTCCGTGTACGTGACCGTCTTCTCCGTGAAGCCAAGAACTCGGTCAATAGCTGAGAGAATGAGCACCTCTGATTTCTGAGCTCCAAGCTTCGACTTGATAATCTCAAGCATGCTTGCTTTGAAGCGCATAATCACAAGAACGAGCTGAGGATCGAGGAACTGCCCTGAGGCAGCCCGTGCAAGAACAGCTGGATCTGTAGTCTCCTGAGAAAGTTGTTTCGGGTAGGATGTCTTGTAGGTCTCGAACACCCCCAGAATGACCTTCTCAAATGCATCATGCTCTGGTACGATGCTATCTTGTGCTAGACCAAGACCACGATTGACAACGGACATCGCGATAGCCTCGGCCCGCGGTGTCCGCTTATCAAGTTGCGCAACTACTTGAGTTGAGAACTTCTTGATAAAGCTGACTACTGAAGCATCGACAGCTGGTCTCAGAGGAGCACCTGACCCGTTTGGCGCAGGGGGTTGGCTCGACCTTGTGGGTTGGCTTTGAGGCGGCACAGCACCGGGATGAGTTTGTTGCAACCCATGGTGTATATTTTGCGGCTGTCCTGCTTGTACTGGAACCCCAGAAGCTTGAGCAGCCAAAGGAGGTGCATTGGCTGGAGCATTGGCTGATTGCAACGGCCCTGCTGTCTGCGGAGGCGCCTTTGTTGCATAGGGGGAGTTGTATGAAGTTGGTTGTGCTCCAACCTGGGGCCGAGGAGCTCCAGGAGTGCCATAACCTGGAAGTTGCGCTGGAGTTGGCGCCTGCGCCGGCATAGGATAGCCTGGTCGTCCAGGAATGTGAGCTCCTGGAGCAGGCGCTTGAGCTCCATAAGGAGGACTGCCTTGGTGACCAGCATAAGCTTGGCCATTCGGTGGGAACCGCTGTGGCGGCATTGTGCCAGGAGGATAGCCTTGAGCAGCCATGCCCACGTTCCCCTGGGGCAGAGATTGATGCCCCATCTGATGTTGGTACTGAGGAGGATAGCTGTACATTGATGCCGCAGTCTGATCGGGAGACGCTGCCTTGCGCTTCTTTCCAGCATCCAACTCAATTCCAGGTACACGGCACCATAGGTGTGTCTCTTCATTCTTCTTGAATGCATCGTTCCCAATAAGGTTATGCCGTACGCTGCTCTCCCATCCCTTCGTATCCACAACAAAAAAGTAATAAGGATAACGTTTCTGTATCCTTTTATAAATCTGTTTAAGGGTGAGACCCTCAGGCGGCGCATCTGATAGAACCTCATCGATCAGCACGCCGTAATTCTTATTTGGCTTCTGGAGTTGTTCTTCAGTGAAGTCCTCCATCTTCAACTCCAAAGGAGGCGTCTTCGGCTTTTCCCTCCTCTTCTCCTTGGGTGCCTTTTCTGCATCCGAGCCCTCAGCTCCATCCTCATTCTTTGGTTTCCGCGGCTTGTACTTTCGCTTTTCTGGTTTATCGGGCTGATCTTCCGGCAGCGGATGCTTCCTGGGACGGCCGACCTTCCTCTTAATGGGCGGCTCACCCGGGGGCGGTTGAGGCAGCTTCTTTTTCGCCGCTTCAAGAGCTTGTTTCTTCAGTAATCTTTCCTCTCGCTTCGACATGATACCATTTTTGGGAGGTCTACCTGGACCTCTCTTCTTAGGTGGCATCGGTAATTGTAGCGGGAGAGGTTCGGGTTCAGGTTCAGGTTTTACATCCTGGTCTGACTCGACCGTTTCTAGGACTTCCTCGTCGTCCTCATCTTCATTACCCTCTTCTTCTTCGTCTTCCTCGCCCTCGTCATCGGACCCTTCATTCTCGGCATCCTCCTTCTCGGATTCATCTTCACTGGTATCGCGAAGCTCGCCACCATGAGAGCTCTCAAACTCGAAACTCATCTCCTTACCACCTTCTGAATAACATTTTTTGCTGGTTGATTCCTCCTCATCAAAGTATTGCTCCGCGCCAGTCTTACCCTCGGGGACGCCATTAATGATGAAGGTGAACTCGACATCTTTGATCTGGAGGTGATCACCACTCCTCAACACCACCTTCTCCTCTCTATGGTGAACTTCCTCGTGGAAGAAACCATTCCTGTGCAGCGGGATGGCCTCGAAGACACCCTTTTCCTGATTGAACTGGATCTTCAGGTGCTCACGGGATATGGCCTTGGTGTTGGCAGCTATGTTGGGCCCAGGAGAATGTATCCCTATGAAAGGAACATGATAGGGGGACGGTCTAAGTGAAGCGAGGTCCACTGCAGCAGCACCAGGAGTGTGGGAGACGTATTGCCTGTCGGAGATCAAGTCCTTTTTGTTGCCCTGCGCATTTTGCTCCTCAACATCCGGCAGCGGCTGTTGCTCAGCCTTATTCGAGTTCGAACCTCCTGAGTTCGTTTTCCTTCGCTTAGCCGGGCGCGGGTTGTCCTCGCCGTCTGACTCTGGCCCCAGCATGCCGCCCTCCTCGCTGACATACGACTTGCTGAATTTGCCGCGGTAGTCTTGCGGGGGTGAAGGCGGCGGCAGCCCAAGAGCCGCATTTTCTTCGATGTGGCGCTGATGCTGCTCAGCCCGTTTCTCGTCTACGCGGGCTTGTTCCAAAGCGCGCTGATCGCGTCCAATGATCACGGCATAGGTCGTCATCTGAAAAGTGCTGTCGGCAAACTCGATGCGCGCAAAGGATTCGAGGTTCTGACCGGCAGCGGCGGCAGCTGCGGCGGCAGGATGGAGGCCGTTGCCGACGGCGAGGGGGTCTCCACCGTCGTTCATGTTGTTTGGGAGGGACACTTGTGAGGGTGTAACGGTCGGGAGGGGCGAGGCCTGGTTGGCGGACATTGCCAGGGCCATCATAAGGTTGTAGTTAGCAACGGGATGTTGTCCGAAAATATCCATGGGCGCATTGGGAAAGCCGTTGCTTTGCGACATGGCAGCGCCCAATGCCTGGGCGTCCGTCATCTGTATGTCGTGGCCATTGGCTGGTGTAACGGGATTGACCTGATCCGCAGCAGCAGAACCCTGACTTCGCTGGGGAGGAGGTGTTTCTGGTGGTGGTGGTTGTGTGGTTGCGCTGTTCTCAGCGTCGGCGGTGAAATTATCATGAGCCGACGACGACGCTATTTGGGAGTCGCCATTTGCAGTCTGAGACTGGGTCGGAGCCGGCAAGGGAGGCGATGCAGGCCGCTGATGGGCCGGCTGGCCATCCTCGGACGAAGTCATCGCTGGGGTCGTATGCCGACTGGCAGCTCCTTCGTCGTCGTCGCGTATTCAGCAAGCAGAGGGCAGGCTGCGGCGGCCGGAGGTCGAGTTGAAGCGGAGTCAAATCAGCGATCGATGGTCGCTCTCACAGCATCGGCTCCCAAGGCAAGGCAGAGAGAGGCAAAGGCGTCGCCCAGCCAGTCAAATCACTCGCTGCCACTCACTGACTTCGGGACCCAAAAAAGTCTAAGCTGGCTGCCACCTCACTTTGCCGCGACCCGCTTTTCTGCCGGTGAGAAGGCGCCGCCTCCTATTCGCTGGCGCCGAGGACCACCCCTCTCCCCCAGCGGTCCTAGACTCCACTCCTTTTTTTCCTCAGATTGGTCGTGTCTCCAGCGTACAGCGAGCAGTCAAATTGTCTGAGATGGAAGAGACCGTTACCTGGTGGAAGTGCAGTGCCACAATGCAGACCACGAACGAGACGAGACGCCTTTGTCCTACGCATATCTATTTCAAGCATGATGCGGATCTGAAGTTTTAAGCTTCTTTTCGTGGCTGCATGTCACCAACAATGTCTTTGCTTGATGCAAGTCCCTCATTCATCGCACATCCACGGAAACCGTTGCATCTACAAGCCACCGAATAACACCGGCTCTCCACGGCTAGATCAGAACTCTTGCGGTCTATGTAATTTCTGACCAAGATGGAATTGTCTACGGCAGCTCTCGAGCCGGGTTGAGACCGAAATCAAGTGTCGAGCAATAGACACTTGTCCTCCCATGAGCTCTGGC